AATCGCGGCCAAATTTTGGCGGGATTTTGTCTTATTATCGTACACGGGGGTTTGTAAATGCATTCAATCGTCATGCACGGTTCAAACAGCTGTTGGTGTTTCTGATGGGTTTTTTTGTGCGCGTTTACGATGTGTGTGTTCATGTGCAGACTAGAACTAGAGCCCTGACCCCATCAGTGGTGTGAAAGGGGACATTGAAAGTAATGAATGTGTGTCAGAAATATTGTACAGTTTTATTTTGGAAAGTGCCCTGTCGATTCTTGCCTTGCCTTGCATGACTGGTCCGCTTCTGAAGTGCGCGTTCACGCGGAACTAAGTGCGCGTTCGTGCACGTGCAGTTATTTAAATTAGTTAACCCCATACGGGAGGTCATAAGGACAACGCTTGCAGTTCTCTGACTATATATCTATATGTGATATATTCAGGTTTTGTACAAAATAGCTAAGGGCCAAAATTGCTCTATTTAGACGATGACATGCGCCGGGTGCTACAAATCGATATACCCTTCTTGCACCCTGAGGGTTCCTTGGTGTGTGGAGAAAATAAAGACATCTCTGTCTATTTTAGGGGGAAATTTCTCGATCGGTTTACGCTGATCTTAATCTGGATGGACGTTACGCTAATGAATATCGGATGACGTGAAAATGTCCGTAGTTATTTTCAAGTGATTTTTCCCACACATCCGTGAATAAAAACTCAAACCAGTAATTAAAATAAACTATTAGAAAAACTGTCGGGTAATTCAAGATGCTTATGGATATTTAAAAATGTGACAATGTTGTTCCTACACATGACAATTAACCTATCGATATCGCGGTAGAATCGCGTCACCGCAGCTTGTGAAAAAAATGTCCAATTGCATGATATACAAATCAACGCGGAACCCGCAAAATCAGAGACAAACAAAACTTGACATATAAACATCCATATAGGGTTGTCTAAGGGGCGTGTCTAACTCGCAAACGGCGATATGTCAATTGAAAAGGACTTCAAATTGAATGGATTACTAATCCGATAAGCAATAAGTTTGCGCGCTGATATAATGGTAATTTAAACACGGATGCCCTTGTAGAGGATCCGTAGTTTAATGGAGGTTCTCTTGATAAATTGCTCAGTGGTTTTGTCCTGTTCCTCGTCGGAAACTGGAATACTGTATATCAGGTGTGAACTAATCCACATCCCTTCTCCGGGGAAATATAAAGAACTATTCCCCCGTTGTCACCGTGCAACAGCTCGGGTCTGAACTATCTCCCCGTATATTCCCGTCTTCTTATTGTAATACGACCCCGCGTCTAGTCCGATCCGATTCCGCGTCCACGACCGTCAACGATACGAAGTGACATCTTCGTTTGTTGGTTCTCTCTTCAACTCTTCATCAGGTGAATTCAGAGCGACTTGTGGTGTTGGGTTTCGCATTGTGCCCGTCACAAGACAACCTGGCATTTCGGTCCCGTGCTCTTTATGATTTTGTCTATAATACGCTGTCCCAGGAGTATTGCGTATTGAGGCACGGAGCGGGTCCCTTTCCGGCCGAAATCTGTATTTGACCTGATCTCGGTCACAAAGCAATTGATGTTAAGTCCCATGATAAGGTTAAACTGTCCTCATCTTTTCAAAGCTCAAATTCATTTTCAAAAAATGGAAAGGTGTAACTCCTGATTATAATTGTCTGTCCGACCAATCTACATACTTAGAAGAGCCATCAGTAAAAAAAAAAATCATAAGCCACGTGTGAACCCCAAAAATGTGTCAGACAGGAAATTGGTTTTGTTTGAAAATCTTCTCAATATTGTGTATCCGCTTGTGAATCGTTTTGGTTTAAAAACCCACGTCATAAACAGACGGGACAGAATTAGGTTCCTTATATGAAAATCAAACTGTCTCGCAAAATATCACGTCCGCTTATTCAACATGCACTGCACTAGTTAGTAAACAGTAACAACCTTAATCAAAAAGGACACTCGTAAGACACTTAGACCCTGGATCAGTGGTCTAAAAGCACGATCCATCGGCGTCAAATTAATTGATAAACATTCACTAGAAACGGGGCTCCCAATCTTATTTCTCCAGCATTTAGTTCACTCAAGTATACAGAGATTTGTTCCGCGTCCACTGACTTGATTCTCCATCGCCAAGTGCTCTACATTCCTCACCCTTCACTACAAAGCTGGATTTCATTGATTGATTCGAATCGAAATGAAGTGAGTTCCTTCGCAATTCTCTTTCACATGTTTCTGGTCTGGAGTCTGGCCGTCTTAAGATGGAATGTGTTGGACCGTCCGCTTCGATCCATTAGCTTGAGCCTACACTGAACGAGTTGGGAAATCTTAAGTGACGCCAGAGAAACATGATTCACCGCAGCTTTCTTCGCAATGGTTTGCACTGACTTACAAAGCCTGCAATATAAAAATACCATTTTTTTTTCAATTGTACGCATTTTTTTTTATTTCATTTTTTTCTTCTGTCTTTCCAATTTAAGCTAACCATAAGCCTTACATTCTTGTGTGTTCTATTTTGAGGGTTTTGGCCTTTATTTGGTGTAATATTTAGCTTATTTCCCTTTAAACATCCAAATATGAGATCTCGAAGAATGTTTTTTTGAAGAAAAAAACCTACTTAAATCTTTCAAGCGGTAGATTAAATCTATAATCACATTCAATTCTGTGTTTTGCAGTACTGTACGTCTGATTGATTACCTTATAGTACATCCTTTAGTTTTACAGGCTAGCCCACGTCTACGTCACATAGCAAACGGGGCCATAATCGAATTGATCGGTTTCTGAGGCCAGACCATGTGATGATTGGCGCCTAAATTTTCTCCGCGAATATCCGTCATTCTATGATTTTACCGTGTTTTCCCGAGACAGCCCTGCCGGGAATTATTGACTTATGCCCCACAGCCCTCTTCCCTGGTGAGATGGGGCATGACCGCCAACAACATCAAGAGATCAGTAGACTTAGAAGTGTATGGGAACCAAGGAAGCGGGCACCAGGGTAATTTAGTGACCTAGATATGGCGGGTGGTCGTTTAATGAGGTAAAATAGGTGTTAACTGTCTGTGATCAATTTCGCGCCATAAACATTGAAGATCCGATGAGATGTTGCTGATGGAATGGTTTCACCTTTTTAACTTCACAACTCACTGGAATTACCGCGATCGTTTACCCCAGTTGCCAAATTGTGTTGTAGGATTTTACATTTTTAATACACTAAAAGAAAAGCTTGTTACGAAAAACGGTTGCTCTCACAGTAACTCGTAAATGCTTTGCAACGAACTCGATGTACAATGTGTACAGCTGCAAATGTATTCTGTCATTCGATATCCAACAATTAGAGAAAATTGTTTGAAGTAAGATTGAAAAATTGTGAAACTTAGTGGATCGGTTCAGAAGTATTTCTTTTATGTTCCTAGGATAGTTAAGTATTGGGTACCAAGACGTCCACGCAAAATATAAAGGTGAAGTTGTTATGTTTACGAGCGATTTTGCCATGAACAAGAAAGAAGTGGACATGTTCCTCTAAACAGAAGCTCTTATACTTGCACTTTCAAATACGATGCCAACGTTATGCAAAAAAATGGAAAATAGACCTAATCGGAAATACAGTCGTATAATGGAATTGTCAGATTTCATATTACACATCATTGGTTACCAATTAAAGACGATGGCTCAAAGGTTTCCTCACGTCCCCAGGTAAACTCTACGATGCTTTATTCAATTACGATAGTAAGTTGACATGGAGTCGGCCAATTTGGCAAGGTTGGTTTGAAACTTTCCATCATAACACTCAACATTACTGTCTATCTATCATTATTAATGACAGCGATATCACTTGTAATCTGCCATTTCTTATAGCTACTCTGCCTTTGCACACATTACAGATCTCGAGGTACCCGACCGCTGCATAAATTACTTTGCATCAAGTTTTTGTTGACATATGGTATTTTGTTGATTTGCTGTATTGGCCGTCCTTTTTTTACACACTGAGAAGGACCTGTCTGAATGCTAATCAATCAAGAGTGACAAGTACAGTAACCCGCTGTCAAAATTGACATTTAGTAGGTGTTAATTCACGCCAGACACTTTTATCAAATACTAAGGCATAGCACGGTTACTAACACTCGAAGCCTTCCAAATCACCTCTCAAAATGAAGAGGTTTTGAGGAACATGAAACCTCGATAGCTACTAATGTGGGGTTTTTTTTTGACGAAACCGCAGCCAATGCAAGCTGCCGTACTCATGCACTCACTCCTAAATCTCCTGTCGAATGCGATGCAATTTGAAACCCTGAATTTATTTATTTCGTTCTACGAATTGATTTCAGCAATTTTAGTTCCCAAGATCAAGAGAAACCAGTCAGTATTTTGACTCGACAAAACTGTCGAAATTTCTCGAACGAGTTCGTGGCACCGTTTTGCACACAAAATGGCCCCCGGAAGAGCTTAGGTAAGCGTGTGCTGAATACAGACAACTCGGAAAACAGGGCACTTTAGGAGGAAATACCAAGCCGTACTTGTGCCGTAAGAGGGCTCGGTAATGTTGCATTTCTCCCGCCACTTCTCCCTGCTCCCACTCTAAACGCTCGGTAAAGTGCAACACGGGAGGTGGAATGTGGAGTAAAAAGCGACCTGCTTAACGGGAGTGCCGGAAGGTGGAGAACCTTTGGCAGGATACGTGACGAGAATTGCATTGAGCAGTGTTGACACTATATAAAGTAGGGTGCGATATTGCAAATTTAGGCTCCTCTTCGTATTTGAGTTAACGACAAGCTATGCCGTGCGTTGGAATAAGCCGTTTTGGTTGAAACTCAGACGAATTAAGACCGCGTACAAATCGTGTACACACTACAAACTTTTAGGGGCTTCATAACCTTTTTACCTTAAAGGGCGGACAGACAAATCTGCCTCTTGGCTATATACGAGATCAAACTAAATGGCAAAACCAATTCTTTTGGGTTAAACATACCTCTAACCAAATATAATACAACATCTAACAGCACGATGCTGTATTTACAATTCAAAAACTGCGCTCTTATTAAAAAAAACCACCTGACGTCAATCTTACACCTTTTTTGTAGAGTGCTTCGTTACTTATTTTTGAACCTACAATATTCTTTTACGATACATTGTTTTAGTATCATTAATTGGCAATAATTATAAGCCAAAGTTATTGTCCCAAAAATGGTAGCTGTTCGCTTGCAGAGACGACGTGGAATGTTTGGCGAGCGATATTAAATCTTAAAAATTTTGATTTTAGTCTTGCATTTTGAACATCGTTTTAAAGATGGCCTGGCGACGGTCAGAGCAGACCCTTATTAAATGATTTTTGAAAAATAAGAGTGATACAGACAGAGACAATGTTCTGTTCAAAGTGTACAAGCTGCTGATGACCTTTCGAGTGCACGCATGACTCACTGGCATTGATGTGTTCTTCTGTTTGACTATTTTGCCGTGGCAATCATTCTGACCAGACAGAAACCCTTTAAACGTGTGTTTTTATTGATCGACTCCACTTTGCAAAACATACTGTCGGCCCGTAGATGTTGATAGACTGATTCCACGCGAGGCATGCTCTAAAGCCGCGAAAATGACGTCATTTTGGGACTTTGGCTTTTCTTAAAAAACAACATCACTCGAACATATGATGCATACACTCTCATAATTATTTTTTTATGTCAGTTGAGCAAGACGTAGGCCTACATGTATCATTATAAAACAAAAATTGTACATAATGTTATTAAAAATCCAGATTTTTAAAACAACTTCGAAGATAATATAAAAAAAAAATGTTTAAAGTAAAATAGGACTTTGAAGTGTCTTGTTGGCATGGTGTCGGTAGGCCTATGTCTTTGGTTTTAAAAACATAATCACGCCGTATTATGCAGTATGCAACGAGTAAGCCCTTGATCGTTTTAACAGTATAATTTGCCAACCACGGCAAAGTCAAAAGGGCCATGCAGTTTGTCCCAAATCCCCACAAGATTGGCATTGCTTATACAGCAATGCCGGTCCAGTCTGTACATAAGTCATGGTAATTGGCAATATGGTATTCAGTTTTACAGTCCATATCCATTTGGAATTGGTAAGGTGCATAATACAGAAATAATAAGCGTGGTCGATCATTTTGCTGAATGACAAAAATGCATTATTTTTTGTAGCGTAGTGGCAGGATATACGGAAAGGATTTCCATGCTAAAAAGGTCGGTAGTTTCAAGACAAAGCCGATGCTTTATGAGATTTTTTTATTTGCAAACCTATTCCTAATGGAAATGTTTAATTAAAAAAAAATAATAATAAAGAGGTCCTTTCAAAGAGCAAGAGCAGTGTGGCTCAGAAGGAAACTGCAAAAGACAATAAAATTAGGATTTTATGGTTTTGAGAATTCATACCAAATAAAGATGACACCAGTCACTGTTTAACGTTTACACATGTGTAAGATATTCCTATTTTCCCTAGACTTTGTATTGACAACTTCCTGTCATCTACCATCGTTTGGTTGGATTTGTTGGACGTTATGCGGGGGGGGGGGGGGTTGTAGACAGAAGGACGACTAATATTGACATTGGGTTAACTGTCAAGTTGAATTGAATTTATGCCATGATGTCAATCATCATCTTGTTTCTGATAGGATTTAATAGTCCACCTTGCAGTCAGATGTTCGGACTCTCAAATGAACAACGCCCTCAGCCGCTCAGCCGTGAAAAGGCGAAAAGCTGAATGTTTCATGTAGCTGATGGCTGTGTTAATCAACCTGTGTAACTCAACAGAATGTGTTTATTGTGTACTACTTAGGTCTGAAGCAATACAAATGAACCTCACCACATGACTTATACATGAGGGATACCTATCCGTTCATCTCGGAGTTCATATTACCTTAAAGTGGATTCATTTGATTGGAACTGAAAGCCGTGGATCATGGGAACACTGCTTTGCACCTGCGCAAAGGCAGATATAACCTTTGCGTGGTACTACTACTAAATCTGACATAAATGTACCGAAGAATGGAACATTACCATGTTTAAGATTTGCAGGATCCCTACTCTGCTTTTGCTATACAAACTTATGAACAACCAACTACATGTAAATATAAGCAGTATTGATTACGTGCATGGAAATATGAAAATGAGAACTGCGGTAAAGGTACCTTTTTTTACGCGTGCCTATACCGCAGATTGTGCAATTACAATTCACGATATTGCCGCAGTGTTCATTTTATCAGTTCATGAAGGCATTCCCCTGGGAATTACCTCGATGCCGTCCAGAATGGCTTGCAAGGTAGCAATTATACGTCTGGAGTTTCTTCGCCTTGTTTGGCGCGATTGCTATCCGCTACATTTTAACCGTAAGGATCAGTCCTTATTTTTAATTCATTCACGCAAGTTTTTGTCTCTTTCCTTTTTGAGTGGTCTAAGCCTGCACCATTATGGGCTTCATTCACGCATCGATCATTTTAAATGTTTTCTTGAATCTTTTGTATATCTGATGTAGACTACGACAAGTTGCCAGACTACGATACAATAATTGCAGTGCTAGTCTTGGGTCGACTTTTTCATTTATGCAAAAAAAGAGGGAATTTTCTTTCAAATAGTTATAATTGTACATTACAACAGGTTCAATCTGTGGTCTGACTCCAAAATTACATCATGTTCTTCCTACACATGTTAAGTTTTAATAATGAAGGGTTAGCCTTGCTTTCGAATGAAGATGGCCGACATGTGAATTACGCAACTTGAAGACGCCAGTTGGGTAAAGCCAACGACTTGTTCGGTTCTTGAACCTTAGCGATTTCTTTTGGAAGCTAATATTGGCAGCTAGCATCAACTGAGAGCGGAGGCTTTATCAGGTTCACGTTCAATGTCAATTCTCTCCTCGAATTTCAATAATTAAAAACGTACGTGCGCGATTCAGAGGGACAACGCTCGTCGGTTTTATTTGCATACCTCGACAACGTATTTTGTTTGGCGTGAGCAAATGACATAGAATATTCACTAAAAGGAGATGTGCCTAACATATATGTACGATAGAAGACTTCTGTAAGTTGAAAAACAGGCTATTTTATGATTTCTTGCTTGTTTTGAATTCAAACGTTTGTGAAATACCAAATTGTAATTTTTAATTTCCCAGTGCCGATTAACCTGTAGTTCGAAATATCTTCATTTCGATGTATTTATTATAAACTCTGAACTATTAACAATGCAAAATATTCTGACGATGGAAAGGGTTAAGCAGCGTCACACAATCAATAAAACGTGGAAAGAAATCTTTGTGGCCTGCAGTACGTACTGCCCTAAGTAAAAGTCAGGACAAAAACACGAGCACGACTGCACACAATTACGCACGTACTTCAGACCCTCGAAGGGCGATTGTGATTCGGTGCATTGAAAAAAGGATAAAATAAACCAGAATTAAAAATGCTAATAAGTGGACTGTGAACTCTACGTGGTAACTGCTATTGAAGAATGAATGAATTCAATTGAATCTTACCATTGCTTGGCAATCGATTTCCATTCGCTCCGTTGGCATATCTGCTACATGCATTGTGTACTCATACATCTTCTGAAAGCATGAGAACGGGAAACATAAGTAATATTGTTAGGATTTGAGTAGGAATTTGAAAGAATGGGGATTGGTGGTTCTGATTTTGTTACCCCAGACTGCCAAATTTGTGATTATATAAGAGACAATTTACTTCCTATTGGACTTCAAAGCTTTACTTTACGGGAATTGATGGCGTTTTTAATTGTAAATGTTTTAAAAACCAGCAATTTACAAACAAAATATCTTTGTTTAAAAATTCCAAATCTATATCTCAAGAGAGCACTGAATGTAAAAAAAAAAAAATAGCAATAGCGTACAGCATCAATATACGTAAAGGGAAGCATTTTGGAATAACAATTTTATTACGCTTCACTCCTATAATTACATTTTTTTTTAATGTGGCTTTTTCTAGAAAGCAAATGTGGTTAATATCTGGAGGTCGTTAAAGCTACTATCTGCCTCCCACATGTCAAAACAAATCTGGTTAAAACATGCCTACCATTAACCAAAATGCCATGCATTCACGAACGCATTGACGACAATCATTTGACATTCGAAGACGGGGGAAATGTTTCCAATTTAATTTGTTCACAATTGATTGTGCTCCCCGATATAATCATTCTTCTCACTGATTACATTACGTTACGTTTACCGACATTTATTCAGGCAGGGTTGCGGACGTCAGTTTCGTATTAAAGCCCGGTTCATACCTCATGCCAAAGCGAATGCGAAGCGAATTTTACGTCATGAAACATTCTCTGCGAAATTCGCCCGAGTTGAAATGTGTTCAACTTTTACTAATTCGCATCGCGAATACTCTCCATGACGTCGCAAATTCGCGTTCGCGTTTTGGTTTTTTTTTTCAAGTTTTATCATTTCGCCTTTCGTTGATTTTTTTTCGAAATAAAAAGGTTATCAAAGAGTGGATATAGTTAATAAGCTTATGACAAGAGGATATATGTTTAAAGAGGCTAAGCGCACTTCAAATTGGATGGAAGTAGGATGTAACCTGTATTAGGTATCTGTAAATGCGCATACCAAATTCATATCTGCACAATCTTAATACACGCCTTCCTCCATGATAACGATACAGATACATGAAGTGTACGTTGGAAGGGGAGGGATTGAACGCCAGAAAAAGAGTCTAGCCGTAACCCGAGGCGCATCTTTGGAAACTGAACGGACGGCGGAAAAGTGCGGGAAAAAATTGCTTTGTGGCGCGTAAAATTAAATACATTCGGCGGCAAAAGAGGGAAGGCATTCCGACACGTAACGACTTGGAGGACTGGTGGGGGAAGTTGCTGTTATAGGGTGAGGCCTGCCAACGAAGATACGGACGACTGTTTTGTGTCTCGATTGCACAATATAAACGATTGGAAGCTTTTGAGGTCAAATGGAAATTGCCTATAATTAACTGATATGTAAAGACTACTAAGATGAACTTGCTTTATAGCGACTAATCACAGGAGCAGGTCTCTGTTCGCTTTCAATTTGACCGAATGTGTGGCCATGAAACAGCCGTCTGTGCAATTAAGCCACACGCCAGCTCGGCGCGCGCTTTCAAGAGCGCCGCAAGACTTGAGATAATTCGTCCGATTCGCCCGGTGAGGAGCATGAAAAAAGCCACCGCCTCGACCAGCTTGCCTAGCGCTGGCCGATGATGACAGCACCAGTGTGATTGTACTACTGACCCAAATAGGGAGGTTTTTTCTTTAAGAACACACGTCGTCCAACAACTACCTTGACAATCGTGTATACGTCTGAATTGAATTATCTGGTCAAGTCCAACAGGAAAAACACACTTTCATCGGTATGAGGCCTGGTTTATAAATCTGGCGAATTTTTGAGCGAAGAGAATTTGGTTTGGTAACAGCGAATGCAAGAATAGAACTGCAGATGTGACGCCATAAAATTGGTATAAGCTTTGGTATAACCCGCACCGAACTGTCTATAAATGGGCGCGTTATCAATGCGTTATCCGCATTGCCAAATATTACAAACAAACGTGGTCGTGGAAACTCGTAGCAATTAATATATGAAGATGGAGTATACTAATCTACGCAATTTCCTGGATGAGAATACACTGCTGCGTACAATAGCGGGAATGTCATGTGTCTCGAATGGAATTACACTCGCATCTTTTTGTGTGTATTCGTCCAAAAAGAAAAAAAGTCTTCTTTAATTTGTAGATTAGCCAATAAGGATCAGCCCCAGCCGGCCCCTTCTAATTAAGTAATATTCCAGCCACCACGAGCAACGCTAGAATCTTCCCGTGGGACAAAACTAACACCGCGCGGATTTAGAGATCGCACCGACAACCGAAACAGTCATTACCGTCTAATTTGAAGAAAAAAAAGGTAGCAATATTAAAGGGCTTGGGAAGGTAGGACCTGGAGCTATTTTCTGTAAACCTGGACCAGCATCATCGACGATTTGTGATGATTTTTTTTTCAGGGTGTCATCCAACTTAATTAATAGCATTCACGCGCGCTCACGGGCTCGCGTATAAGATAAAAAAAAAAGCCGCGCATGCGTGATAGATTTGGGGCAGACGCGGGTATTGAACTTGAGGGATATTGCAGTCGAAATTCGGAACACGCAGAATGTTAGCAGGGTCTATTTACATATAGCAAGCCTAGCAGAAAAGATGTTGCAATGCCTAGTAAATTTAAGCTAATGTGCGCATGTTCAAAATGACGCAAATAATATAAAAGGACCGGTGTGTTTGCTGCCACCAAGGGTTTCAAAAAGCCTCCCATTGTCCCCAGCACAGAATTAGTTTGTTTAGCGGAAATAAAACTGATCACTAACTAAAATATCACATGAGGCACATTACTATTCACTGGTCCTCAGCAGAGATTTGCTGATCACATTTGATAAGCATTTTTCACTCGATCCCATGGCAACATTTGCCGTGAGGTGGAGGTCAGTTCAAACTGGGTTGCCGGTTTTGGATCGCTGACTTTTTGCCGCCAGAAGTCTTCAATAAGTTATTGGTTGGCCCAATTCCTTGCATAAATAAAACAAAAAGGGAGGTGTTTTCCCCAAACGATAATACGACACAGATTCTCCGACTATTTCTGTCCTGATTTCCTGTATGGAAAATAATGCATTATGTATGACTGTTCTCCAAAGTCAAAATGTGGGTATAAAACTATCAAGACTTGCCGTTGGAGCCAACAACTATACCTTGTATGCAACTTAACACCTCCATTGTTCAGTTTTTAATGATTGCTATTTGGTATTAATTGGTATAGGCCATCCACGTCAACAGCATGCCTGACAGAGGAGTGGATCGAGTACATTTTACTGCTGTGTCAAATCACAGTAGGTTATGCAGTTGTCTGATACTGTTGACATTTTACTTTTCCAGATGCGCTTTTCAGTCAAGCTTTTTTACAGCAAAAAAGATGTGATTGTCATAGGTTCACGCACAGACGCAAGATCATACCTTTCGTAGGAAATTTATACATCTTCCGTTACATAAAGTACAGCATCATGTGCAAGTCTCAACTGTCATCGCACACATACTTTGGAAAACTTTAGATATACCGTGCAAAAAAAAACCTACGTAATGTGAACTGAAAGAACATGTTGTGCATCGATTGAAGTACACGGACAGTTGAAAATGTACAACTTTTTTTTGTGAGCAAATCAATAATGCTGTAAACCCAATCAAAGCCATTGAGTCAGACCTGTCCATCACACATGACGTAATAAGACCCTACGATCAAGGCAGACTAATAAAGAAACAAAGCCAAAGGAAATATGAAATTCTTAAAGTCCCCTCAACACTTGAATGTTTAAATTGATTAAAGGCGAACAAAACTATAATTATGTGAGGGTTTTTTCACGACACAATCAATTTAAAGCTTGTTTAGACCGTGTGTTACAATGATTTCCGCGCGTTGAGGGATTTGCCACAACACGATTCCCTTTTGAAGGCATTTTTCTCAAGACATCCCTTGAGGCATCCATTTGTCTTTTGATAATAGAACGAGAAGGTGTTTTTTTTTTTAACCAAAATCATGCATTTTGATTTGCGCGTAATTGGCAGCTGAAGCGATCGATAGATGGCGTGCAGATGAACAGTTAAGGAAGATTGTCTATCGATCAACCAAACCATGCTGACGTATAAATATTGTTGGACGGGACTAAAATAAATCAGAGAAGGACGGGACAGAATAAATCAGGAGACGGGCGAAAGGAGCATCGCACTCTCGGCTTGACCCGCACCCTTCTTTAAGATTCCAAGCAGCGCACGAGCCCTCATCTCCTTTGCAAGTCTTTACTGTAACATCAACACTGTGATGTTTTTACATCGGGTAAGGGGAAGCGAGCAACCTGCCACTGCCTGATTTTTGACCCCTTCTCGACCGCTGGGTCGAAACCAAACAGGGATTGAGAACTCCGTCTGCTCCTCGATCCCCATCGCTTGTGCTCGATCATTCGCTTCGCGCCCGCCAACGAGCATTCAATGCATAAATCACGGAGCATGAAAGTGCACTCGTCGGGCTTGAGCACTTGATTGGGAACGCGTTGACATGACACAAGAACTTGGATGTTTTCAACTTCAAAAGGGACTCAACCACAAAGATTTCCAATACTTGTTGACAGCGTATCATCTTCCAAATTTCCCCTGTTGCCAATTCTGCTGATCCTGTTCTAGAAGTTACGCCAATCTCACTCATATTCCGTTGTAAGATTGCGCTGTGACGACAGTGTCTTCCATTCGACCATTATTCTCTCAAATCATAGATTTTTTTCAGAGGCACAAACCCATAAACATAGCTAGAGCGGTGTTTCACAAAACATGAAGTAAAATTGTCGAACAAAATCGTTGGAAATTTATAATTTTTGACTTGTTTTGACTTTTTGACTGAAAGGTATTATGAATGGGAATAAATATGTGTTTGATCGGTACAGATATTGGTCCTCGCCTTCGGCGCGGGCCATCATCAGCGTCCATGCCCCGAGCCGGTCTTAAACGTACTTGTTTGAAATCTGCCAAGTACATATTTACTCCCTTACTAAAAGTACTAAAAGTACTAAAAGACACATTATTTTAGTTTGCATTGGTAGGTATTTTGTTGAAATGCTAAAAAGTAATAATTCGATCCAAAAATAATTTGCCACATTTTGTTGAGTTAGTACTCTTTATAGTCAACAGAAATAATTCCAATTGAAACCATACCAATTTCTGTAACTTTGTTGTTGTATATCGACAAAAGACTAAAACAATGTCACACAGTATTCAATGTAGCCTTTTAACAGATATAAATGAGGGATTTGTTCAACTATCAACAAAAACGTCAATTCAATTTGTCCTTAGTACTTTTGACTCGTCAATGATTTTATTCAAACTTTCACCGAATTAATGCCTGCGCAATATTACACGATTTTCGCGACATGAAACAGTCGTCGACCGATATGTTCTTTCTCATCGCGCAGCCTCATCGATGCAATCTATGAGACACCTGCGCCGCTTAAACCTAATCTTGTGCAGTTTGCCACTGACTCTTGATCTATTTACATCTCATCTCAACTCTTGTTTCATAGGGAAAGTCTTTTCTGCATCATCGGCAGAGCAGAATACATTCCAATTTGTCCATGTCCACGTCAGTACTTACAGGGGTCGCCCCTTCCCTCCCCCATACTAACCAGTTTAAAACTTCTCATAATTGAGGGCTGCGAACCAAGATCAATTTTCATGTCTTGAAATTTTCTTCCAACTCAGTGGTAACCTAAATTGATTTACAAGACGTCTGGATTCTGCGTAGGTATAAGCACGAACCTTCTCCACGCCATGATTCTTTTCATTCAAAGCAAATACTGTCCTCATGCAGTAGACAAAAACAAAAAACAAATTAGAATGGATTTCGTTTTAGATTGGTACTACCCCTACGCATATGTGAGTGCCTATGAAAAAAGGATTTGGTTTGGGTGTATATTTTAATCGTGCTAACTACTGTTTTAGTCTGCTTCAACAGAGCTACACCATACTGTAAGACTATTTCTCAAAAACAGAGTTATCTATCAATTTCTGTGAATTGTAATTTGTTTCTGTTTTCCTTTGTGTTTTCATATTTTAGGATGAGGTGAAGCAGCAACTATCAGTTAACGTCTGGCTACGAATGGTAAGGCAATGGATTCTTTCTCATCTTCTACAATTCGCAATAGTGAACTCGATCCCATGCAGAAACTCGTATTACTAAAGAACAGAGTGTCTAATTATAGTTTATGGTGCAGATACTACAGCAGAAGGCCACATCAAATTCACTAAAGTCAATTTATCTACTTTTTGTTTACTATTTAGAGTTGGAAAGACGAGTTTCTAACGTGGAATCCGGCAAAATTTAATAATACTTCGGTGGTGCGGATACCAGCGACCATGCTTTGGAAACCTGATATAGTCTTGTACCAGAGGTAAGTAGTGGGACCAACCCAAAAAATCACTCTGCATTTTCTTGTAGTCTTAACTGTTTGTTTCCGCACTGAGCTAAGAAAGTTTGTTTTAAAATAAAATTTGTCATGTTTACGTTTTCTCTTCGTGGATTAATTCACCTTTATAAAGCTGTTTAGCAACGATAAGCCATAATCATTTCAAATTCACTAAAACCGACTGTATTAAGCTCAAGGGTGGTTCACTGATGTCTTTGCGGCAGTCACTAGACTTGTGTGTTTACCATGACATGCTCATTTTTACGAAAAACGATGTAAAGATTCTCACAAATAAATGATAAGCATCTTTATTTTGAGAGTAGATTTGAAAAAAAAAATTATATATAGCCTGATCATAAACTTGCACGAGAGTTCCGAAATAACAAAAGCATTTCTACATGTAAAGTGGGGTGCTTTGAAAGCGGAGTGCTCTCAACACAATGTGATTTAAATTCACGCAATGAGGAGACAAGCGGTTTGGCCGATGTGGTTGGTTGCCATGGCACTCCAACCACGAAACTCTCAGTTTTAATTAGCGGAAGTCGCGACAATCTTTCCGCCATTGCGCTTGGTTTGTTGCTGCCCGCTTCAGTGACGCAAGTAAGTGAACCTTTAGGATGTGAACAAAAAAATTAACTCCAGTGGATAGTTTAGGTACACGCGTTTTATCAAGGATCAAAATCTTCCCACATTGATTATATTGGAAAAGGGTACATTCTGCAGCGAACACCGCCCTCTGTGGATGAAAATCTCCCCGGTGGATTTCCATCAACCACGTGACGTTTCTACACACCCTCGACTTTGGACCCGCATAATAGACAAACTGAGAATCAATTAAGTTCTATAATGGACTGATCCTGGCAATGTCCCCTTCTTGGCTTTTAAAGATAATTAGATTGCTTTCCAAATCTAGTACGTCTCCATTAACTGCTCAGAAAAGTAAACTGTTAAAAAGTCTTTATCAAAATGAGAGAGCTCCACCTTCAAGCCTTTCGATGTGGAATAATCATACTATTATTAGTATGATTAATTTTGTCGTACGCTACAGTAAAAATAATATTATAATCCGACAATACTCTTCTAGTGATTTTTAACTACATGAAAATTCCAGTGGATAACTCTATATTTGTATACCTTTGTTACAAGAGGGAAATATGCCCCACCCCTTTTCACTTTTACTGCTATGAAATAGTTAACCCTCTATACTCTATACTCTACTTATGGGCAGATAGTACATTTGAGACCATGGTATAGTTTGTATATTCACCTTCCAGCCAGCAAGTCGTGCATTAAATTGGAACTGATAACCGAAACTCGCCGGCGGAAAATATCACACTCAGAGACTATTTTCAAGAACAACACAATGGGGGCAAAAAAGCCGGGAACATTTCACATCCCCACAACACTTAGAATGTAACAGCAATCGTAAAGAAAATACTGCCGTCTGTGTCAGGCTGCCGTCTGGACTTAAAGATGAGCAAACGGAGGCAAGGCAAGAAACGCGGACTGGAACATAAGGAGAGCTATTCAAACACAACCCAGCGGCCCTGTACGGAAATGTCAATATTTTTGTCCGAGGAGAGGGCAATAATGAGATAGCAGGTGACTGAGGCTACTTCCGTGGGTAAATGGCTCGTGCATTGCCCCTGGCCGTGAGCTCATCGGATTATGCACACCCACTAAGTCGTCAACCCAGATCTGGTCACATTCATGACACTAGCACTATGTATCTTCAATGCTGTATTTTTACAGCACCATGAAGGCCCCAGATGTTAGAATCTTAAAAATATAAAGCAATGTTTCTCAAAGAGCCAATAACCTTTCTTACTTGATTTCGTGAATGCCAAAATCTCCTTATTATTATGTTTCCATTCCAACATGGAAAACGTCGAACACTTCTGATGGCAAGGTTTTGTTTTCCATGCACATTGCTACACATAACCTTTAAGTCATGTATGAAATTCATGACAACTGTATCGACTCCATTCTTAAACCTCACATTGTTCATCTCTAGAAATTGAAGTCGTGACACTAGTCTCAAAATTCCTCTGCAGCGTTATTATGGAGTCAAAAATAGGGTTAGGGAATTTGGACTATCTATAAACACTAATTATAGACAAATTAAAAACATGAATTTCAAGAGTGCAGGGTAAGTAGGTCGCACACACCACATGGCAATGAACCTCAATGCAGAAAAAGCACGAACTGGAACGTCAATGCCCCCAATTAAGAGAATATTTCCAATTCCTAGAATCCCTCCTTGGTACGCTCCAGGGAACAATTAAAGTTTCTTTTCTGACAAAACGAAGAAGAAATGCGAGAAGCTTGTTCGGCATCTGGCCAAGCAAGGATCCCTGACAACCAAAATATCAACAAATGACATAAATCTGTTTTCAAGCTGCAATGACACATAACTAATAACTTTGGGGGGTTTTGTTATCTCCAAAACTCAGCGTGATACAATTTATATATATTTTGATTATTTTCTTGGATTTAATTTATACATTTTTTATAAAATTGAAATTATAATAAACTCAACTGACAACATGACACAATGTTGTACCTATAGCCAGTCCTTGATGTGATAGCCTCCGAATCTACCCTTACAAATCAAATCTTTGCCGCGCAAATACGTCGGAATATTTTCCACACGATTTCATTCCCATCCAGTGCTTTTTGGGGCGTTTGGGGTTTTTTTTGCATACTGATATGAACATCTCTCCCAGGTTTGCTGATGAGAAGGTTTGATACCAAGGGCGATTTTTTTTGTCTCGACCACCGAACCCAACACTCGTGATTCACTTTTGAATTGTGTACATAGAAAAAAATCAAATTTGACAAGAAGGTGGCAGTGTGGTGTCATGCAAAGCAATATAAGGACGTGACGTGACATACAAGTCCAGAGATATATCAATGTCGTTCGTTTCTTAAGTAAACCTAACGGCGTCGACCGTGTTTGCTAATGTTACTGTTCAGTATGTACATTAACGGTTTCATGTGTACTGTTTCCTTCGCATCTTGAAACTGGTGAAGGTTGGATTTTATATGCAATGCTTAGAATTATAATATGGACGTCTTTACTTTACAACATAAGGATATTGGCAAAATAACAACTGTGTAAAAAAAAATACGAGATATCAGTCGTGGACTCACTTGAACTGTCATCGTGAAGATTCATCGACATGTAGTCATGTGTGATGTCAGTGTTTATCTTCAACCTGTCACGTCATGTGATTTTCAGCTTCGCTTAGCACATCGCTTGGTTTCACCATGGTTTCACAAGGCACGACCTTTAAATCTGATAGTCGAAGATTTCGTAGTTTTGGGGTGAATTTTTTGCTGCCACAACGCAATTCACCGCAGCTGCTACCAGATCTTTCATTCGTAATGAAGTTACCATGATGCGATTTTCTTAGAGAACGCTCATGTTTTTGTTAAAAAATCATAAAGACGTGAAATCTAGTTTGGTTGTCAGTATCCGATCAAGACAAAAACAGTCCAAACAAATCCCTAGCCACAAGTGAAGGATCTACTTCACAAAACAGGAAAGTATTTGACTATCAAGTTTGCAGAGAATTTCTAACTGTGGCGTGTTTTCTTTTAATTTTATCGTCGTTTTACCCATGACGGTATTCAGACGTTTGTGCCGGTGCCTGCAGTATTAAGGGTTAATTTTTCAGACGTCTTTATGATTCATCCCTAAGCCTGCTTCGGGGAAACGATTCCAGAAAACAGGTGTATTTCAAGACTCTGCAGCCTCCTGCGCATTAATACCAAATAAGAGTTTCAAGATTGGAAGCACCTGCGAGTGTTGAAACACCGCGCAGGAAAAGAAGTACACCCTCTTTGTTGATATCAGAATTAAGCTAGCCGTTCGATGTCTATACTTGGGAGCGAAATGAAGGAAAGTGATATTGGAATTCCCCGGTGATAATGCAAGATCTGTTTACACAACCGGAGGAGAGGGAGTCTGTGTCTTAAGAAGACTTAATTTCGAGCGGGAAGCTGTCGATCTGCCACCTTGCGTGAGGGCGGTGAGAGCCGGGGTCGAGTGCTCTGATCTGAAGAACATCGCCTCGGGAAATCCAAGCAGGGAAAAAAATAACTGAAAGAGTAATCCGACTGCTCAATCCGTTTAGTTGTATGGCTGAATTGCTGCTGTCGGAATTGCAATTGTTTTTTGGGTGTGTGACTTTGTGAATATCACAAATTGTTTTTTGTGCGAAGAACATGGTATCATTGGTCACATCATCCCGAGACAATCTGACGAAAGTGGCTTTCGACGTGACAAGGTCGGTCTTGATATTTCTCACTGTTATGTTTGTGTCCAACTTTCAGAAGGTTCACCACGGTTTATCTACCCGGAAGTGTTTTGTGCGACTTTGCGGAAAGTGGCGAATATTGCGCTCTTTTGAGTGCTGTATAATGTTAATGCTAGAGTGAGGGACTGCTGCGTCAACTCCTGACAGTTTCCCGGGGCGTTGGTCGGCGCGTCGATGCGAACTGACGAGCCACTGACAACCGGAAAAGTCTCTTCTTCTGTTTAAAATAAGGAGTGTTCCGCAGTCGGAATGTGTTAGAGGAAGGAGGGAGGGTGATCGTCCGTCGATCGGAGGGGAGACTTTGATTAAAGCAACACGGTTATCTGACTAATCGGTCAGCGACATTTTGCATCACGAAGGCATCAATAATGGCGGATGGTGGCTGGCTTGTGAGATCGATGCCTCGAAACATTGGGTTGGAATAAAATGTAAACTCGAGTGACCTCGTCGTACAATGACCGTAACATTTATGGTTTGACTGAAGAATGACAAAAAAACCGCTACGTTTGATCAAGGCCTCAAGAAAATAAAGCACAAAATCAGATTAAACAGAAGGCAAACCATGCATGTTCCTCTTCTTTACAATGACATCTATCATTTGAAAAATGGATTGGGTTTATTGACGTCACTATAATTATGTGAGACGTTTAAAATGCTTTTTGACTCATTGCCAACCGTCTTATATGACGTCACACGAACATGGTGTATGGAAGGCCATTGACTCTAAAATGACCTGACACATTGATGGATGCAAAAAGGGAAAGGATTATCTTATCAAACATTTACTGATTTTTTTTGTTCTTTTTTATTTATGAAAACCTGTAGCAATGCCTAAAAGTATAATTGCAACGTTCGTGTATATAATGATGTAATTTTGTTACCTGGGTACATGTACTGGGAGTGACCCTTTCGGTGATAAGAAAATCTTTAATAATTCAATTTTAATCTTCACAAGGAGATGGTTTCGGTCGTCGTTAATTCCCAAGTTTGGGTCGATTCCCTTCAGAGTATCCGGGGGCGCCGAGGGCCAGGGCCGGGCGGAACAACGCGTCACCACCCCCTGCACTCCGGCACTGTTGTAAAATATACAAAAGGCCTGCACTTTCGCACTACAGCAATCGCCATTTTAATCACGCCAATTTATCATGATTGGGTTCGCGCGAGACACAATTACTGAAATTGGCCAGAAAGGGCTCCCCTGTGTGCGAGAGGTGATCTCACCTGGTATTTTATATTGCAAAAAGGGCGGGAAAAGCTCTTCTTTCCCGCCCGCACGCCTTGGCGGTGTTTTAAAAGCGACCTGTCCGTGCAAAGCTTGTGGCGATGGGGCACGATTTTAATGGGTTGGCAGGGATGGTGCGACAAGGACTAAGGATTCGCAAACTTACGCCGGTGGCATACCAAGGAGAAGACGCGAAATATTCTGACATGAGGATGAAAAGAAGGGACAGTTAATTACGATACAGGATGTTAACGAGAGAAAGCTCTCGCCAAAGGTTCTTGCAGAAGAGGCGATTAAAAGGAATCTGATAAGACTATAAGACTATAGCCATGCAGCACCAAATCAGGCAATATTTTGATACTAAAATCTCAGCAATGCGCATTTAAGGAAGACATGCTTCAACCAGCTAATTAAGAAATATCCTAAATAGCCACTGCCCAAATGCGATTTGATTGATTGAGACAACAAATTGTCAGAAAACCACTTTGCAAAAAGCAAAATACAGAACTCAAAATAAACACGAGAGGTAAGAACTGGGTCTGCCCTTTCCACAATAAATATATTGTGTAAAGGTTAAGGGTCTGCCCTTTTCACAATTGACCTATCGCCGTCTTCGAGTTAGCCACGCCCCTTAGACAACCCTGTGGAATTGTGTACGTTAAGTTTTGTTTGTCTCAGATTTTGCACGTTCCGCGACCATTTGTAAATCATGTTATTGGACAATAAATTTCCCAAGCTACGTGGACGCGATTTTACCGTGATATGTTAATTAATACGTGTGTTCGTTTCCAACGCCAAAATTGGAATCGACATTTTGTCCTCGCACTATAGCTTTTTTCCTCAAAGGTACATGTATAATACTACAAGATGATACTGCACGTGTCCACGCCCCCAAAATACTGCAGTTTCTTCAAAAAGTGCATCGGGGGAGTGTTAATAATGTTAGCTTTTAGACACAGACGTGTGTTTCCTTCCGTTGACAAGGTCACTCATTGTTTTACATGCACTTCTGAACGGAGCCAGGAATATTGTACTTCGGTATACAAAAAAAAAGATTTGCTAAGACTTAGTACGTCATACCCAATCGATATTCCAATGATTGTAAAGCATATAATAAAATATGTGACAATAGTGGACAGCAGTTCAATTTTTTGTCGAGAGGGGAAAGTACAGCTGTGGGGGAAGAAAGGAAATATAATGCGTTTTCTCCTGCTGGGAGATCTTGTGGCTTTAATAAAGTTGTTAGCTATCAACAAAATTGAAGGATAAGTTGGAGGCATGAACCCTTGGAAAAAAAAGAGTGGGGAAAAATCAATTGAATTTGACAATTGCCGTTCGACACATGATGTGTGGACATTATTTTTGCGCTATAGCGCGTGCAGAAGATTGCATTTGTGTACGCTGTTCCTACAGAGTTGGAAGTTTGGGCTCGTTCGGTTTCTTATTAGCACGCACAGTAGCTCATGGAAAGTGATTGGACATGATAGAAACATTGATCTCAAATAGATTCATTTTTTTTAAAAAGTACGTTTAACATTCGCCTAATGCCTGATATTTTTGGTATAACATGATCTCATATTTTTGCCTTTTGTGTTACAGTTTGCATTTTGTTTTAAAAATTAAAACAAAACATTAAAATAATGTATTGATACTTTGTTAGAAATGACGTAAAATTCAATTTATTGGCGCTATTTCAGCAACCTATGTTTGTTTAATTGTGTCAAAAAGCAAGAGCTCGCCTCAGTGACGTTGGGATTCCAACGGTTTTAGTGGATTAAACTAAAACTTTCAACGTAGTTTCAATGTATAAAATACTTGAATACTTATCCGAAAGAAAATTCAAGTTATGTTGGTTTAAGTCCGTGGATAAGAATGAGCACAGTATTCTAATCCAATTCCAAAGTTCATTTCCTTAAAACCCAAAGGCTAAATTGAAAAAAAGCGAAACGTTGGCTTTTCATCCCGTCACGATATGAAATCTAATTTGAAACTCGAAACCAAACACTGTAACTGATATCGAATATTACATTAACTTTGCCCTGGATTAACCCCGTGATCAACTCCTTCATTCGGTCATGGTTTGGCGTTTAAAAAGATTTGGCCGTTCTCATACGTCTTTTGTAACGTTTTGTTGAGTGCTGGGCGTTTTGTATTTTCAGTTTGAACTTTTCATGTTTCACTATTATGCTATATATTTTGCCTGTGTTCCCATGTTCCGCATATCCATCACATAATGTATATGCTAACCCTTCCTTGCTCCATTCAAAGTAGCTTGTATAATTAAATAAAGTTTGACAATATTAGACAGCAAATTATGGGTTTGTGTTCAAAAAATGGATTGTGTGGTAGTTTGCCACTTTCCTCCGTTGTACTTATGTAGAACATGGTGTGCAAAACGACAATCAGAAATGCTCCTTCAACTTCTTTTGATATTGAAACCAGCAGTAATTTAAAGGGCAAAGGCACTGTAGTTTTAAAATCCAAGAACCAAGAGCTAAGAGAGAGAGCAGTGACAAAGAGTTATTGTACAGTATAATTGCGAGAAAAGCACCGGAATAATATTCAAGAGAAAGGACAGCAGGGACTGAAAACACATCCACTTGACAGACTGGTAAATACGGTCTGCTAACCAGACTCCTAATAATGACTTCTTTATTTTTATTGATTGACACTGCAGCGTGGACCAGGACCCACTCAGCGGGGACCTGGGCCTCTCCTGCGTGGTCCACTCAGACGGGAAAATCGAGTTCAACACCCCATACATCTTCATCAGCTACTGCAAGGTAGACCTGACCTACTACCCCTTCGACACACAGCGCTGCCCACTCAAATTCGGCTCCTGGTCCTACGACGAGACGGGGGTGGACATCGTGCTGTCCCGACCCGAGCCCGAGCTGGCCAACTACCAGCCTAACGGGGAGTGGGACCTGTTAGATATGACGGTGGCAAACCACAAGATCAAATACACCTGTTGTGAACACAAGTTCCCGGACGTAGAGTACACCTTGGTCATCGAACGTAAGCCTGAGTTCTACGTAGCCAACATCATCCTGCCTTACGTTCTCATCTCTATCTTGTCCATCTTTGTCTTCTACCTGCCTCCTGAGTCTGGAGAGAAGATGAATCTCTCCATCACCACCATGCTGTCACTGATTGTCTTCAATGAGTTGGTTATCACTACCATACCACCAGCATCAGATGGGACGTTTCCTATCATGGGTGAGTACACTTCTTTGCTTATATTCTAAAAAAAAATCCTAAAACGATCCTCAAACAGACCCTACTCAAGAGGACATGAAGCTAGTAGATAACCACAGCTAAATTTCCTAAATAATGAGCAGGGACATGTCAAGGAACAAATTATGAACAACGGATTTAAAACATTGGCTAGATGGGGCTAACACAGCAGAAGCGAAATCATTGCATATGATGGTGTGAAGGATCTCTGATATGCTGTTAGGTACATGAGTTTGGGATGACAACTGAGTGTTGATGAGATGCAGATGACTGCCTAGTATAACGGCGTGATGTAAATGGAGGTAGTTTGAGCCTGTCCAGTAGATGAGGCAGAGGGGAGCACTGCATTTCCTGAATACTGTTAGACCAGCAACTTGCCTACGATGACTTAAAGGCTACATTGGTTGCATAAATACGCTAGCCGTTCTTGACCAGTTAATTATAACTTACACAGCAGCTGCGCCAAAGTTTACATTGCAAATGTCGCAAAAACAAGAGGGGGGGGGGGGTTGGTTCTTGGTTTTCGATAACAAACAAAGTGCATTTCGCAAACGCCCCACCTGGAGAGGCACTTGTGTTTGTATGGGGAAAAAACCTACACTTGTGTTTTTAACTAGAAAATGCCAGGTCCAGACTCGAGAGAAGGGTGCGATTCTTGAATTTCAAATTCATTAATTTTTTTCCTGGAAACTGCCTCGAGCGTATTGGGGTCCGCTTGGAAACGGACATCCAGGGTATAACAGGTGGATTTCCGTGTATTGTTTTTGCAGCGTTCTTAATGGATTAGATACCCCATAACGGGTATGAGCTAATGAGATATAGTTTTCAACTGCATAACTTGAAAGATTCCACGATTTTCCACTAGTTAAGTAAAAAAACACATATTAAGTAGAGTTGCACGATGATTTGGTAAACTATACCTTTTTTGACAGATTTATCACGGAGACCGAGGAGTCCTTTGTTTAATCGACAACTCACCCGATATGAATCTGGGTTTTTTTTTCATTTACAACAATCAAGAGAGAGCTTTTTTGTTCATTTCCGTCAACTTACATTCTTCGATTCACGCATATACTGTAGTCTGACAGCCAGCCGGTATAATCCGTCAGGCGGATACCGTCTATAGGTTTATTTCACAGTCTTTTGAGGGAGAATCTGCAAATTCAATCGAAAGAAAATAAGATTAAGTTTCTCATGCATGCCATGAAATTTTTCTGTCATGTTTTTATCCGTTGGCTTTCCATTAAATTTATTCAACAATCCGTACATGGATGGTTCTTTTAGGTTTCCTTCTTTTCTTACCATTGTTCTCCAAAATGCAATTATTCATCGCGAAAGATGCCACAACAATATGCTCAGACATAAGAAACATCCGTTTCTACAGCAACCGGAGTTAAATTTAATAAAACGCTCGATATTGTTCAACCTATGTAGTGGATTTTGTGCACTTAGGTCAGGCGGGATCTTATTGTTGTTATTATCAAAAGGCATTTTATTTCGTAACAACATAAAATTCCGAGTTCTGGGAATATTCATGACTAACTCAATGTTGTTTTTCTAAACATATTTATTGTATCAGGATGCGTGGATAGTTTCTGGTAAATGCAATTAATGTATAAATCGACAAATCCTTTCACCAAACGAAAATTCTCCGGGCTTTAATATTTTTATCATCTTACTTAGTTTTAAGTTTTTTTAACTCACTGTCTTGTATTCAGTATCTTGTTATTATTTGTGTATTATTATTAATTAAATGATTTTCTTTTCAGACTGCACATTTTTATAATTAAATGTGTTAAAATTGTAGGTTTTAATAGAGAAAGGGATCTGTTTCTTTTTCCTACATTGCAAAGAAAGCTTGTATTCATAAAACCTACCAAAGGAATCCTCAATATCAAGTTTCGATGGCCCAAAATAACTATACAATATAGTTCCCAAAATGCAACGCGGCTAGCACATTGTGACGTCATTACATTGCAAAGCTACGAGAACAGATACTACGACAAATTATCATTCAGAGTACATAACTGTCTGACGGTTTTGTCTCAGTTGCGCATAAACACTGTTCCCCGCAAGTATAGCCCCCCGTTTCGGGAAAAACAAAGGGCCCAGCTATCGATATTACCTTTTTAATATCTCGCATCATTTCACTCAATTTCCGAAAGATGAAAGTGTGCGGTCGATCAGGCACGTCGGTCCGCAGGACAAGTGTCTCTGTTGAAATTCCGAGACAAATAAATCAGGTAATGAAGACGGTTCATCGTATTACAGGTGACTGAACTCGTGCATGGTAATTGATAGGCTCTTAACTCATGCAGTTCTTCTCTTAAAGAAAAGCCGTTGGCATATGATTTGTCTCAAAATGTATGTGATCATTCATAATGTTTAGTGCCTTGACTTGTTAATGTCACAAAGTAAAAAAAAAAGTTTAACTGAAAAAGATATCAAATAATACTGTGAAATTTCTTCGAAATTAATCTTAAGATCAGTTTATCCCAAAGAAATATTAACCATTTAACGATTGCTAATGGTCAGACCTATACAATGACACAAATGGCAAAAATCCACTTGTTTTGCGGATACCATGCAGAAAAAGGGGGAAAAAAAGGGGGGGGCTTGTCCGGGAATCGAACCCTAGACCTCTCGCACCCAAAGCGAAAATCAAACCACTAGACCAACAAGCCGCTGCATTACAACAACGGTCTTTCACCATTAAATCTTATACTTTCGATGTTCTAAAGGTACAATTTAACACACAACAAAATACCCCCAAAAAAGGGCTTGTCCGGGAATTGAACCCAGGACCTCTCGCACCCGAAGCGAGAATCATACCACTAGACCAACAAGCCACTGAATTACACCTGCGTCTTTCGCCCATTATGTATTAAATCGTTAAGTTTCGACGTTCTAAGGGTACAATTTATACCAACAAACAAAAGAGTTTATAAATGGGCTTCTGTGGGAATTGAACCCGGGACCTCTCGCACCAGAATCACGCCACTAGACCAACAAGCCGTTGAATTACAACTGCAGTCTTTCGCCACTTATAAAGTTTTCATGTTCTAAAGGTACAATCTAACACACACAAAAACAAAATATGGGCTTGTCCGGGAATTGAACCCGGGACCTCTCGCACCCGAAGCGAGAATCATACCACTAGACCAACAAGCCGCTGTTTACACAAGAGTTTTTCGCCATTATGCATTGAACCTTACAGTTTCGGTTATCTAAACGTACAATTTATCAAAAAAGACCCAAAAATGGGCTTGTCCGGGAATTGAACCCGGGACCTCTCGCACCCAAAGCGAGAATCATGCCACTAGACCAACAAGCCGTTGAATTACAACTGCCATCTTTTGCCACTTAAAGTTTTGATGTTCTATATGAGGTACAATTATTTAACAAAAACAAGACCCCAAAATACGGGCTTGTCCGGGAATTGAACCCGGGACTTCTCGCACTCTTAAGTCTTTAAGTCTATGCGCGCCTTGATACCTTGTCAGTCGTCTGATTGGCCCGTTCTGAAGTACACACATACGCGTATACGCGATACGCTGAGCCTATGTGCGCGTGTAAATAAGTTGACCCCGCTTCAGAGGTCATAAAGACAACGCTGCACTGCTCATTCTCAAACCCTTCATCTTAGTGAGACATCGAGACATTGTTCAGATGAAGATTACATCCATCCGCACTGTAAAACGGTCGCTACGGCATACTTTGTCTTCGTGCATAATTCGCATGTGTTCGGATTAGGTGGATCTTAATGGACTGATGCCGTGTGACCAAATCTATTCCAGTTTTCCGCGCTGTTCCACTGATATTTTTGGAAATTTCCAAAAATGTGTCACTTCACACATCTTTGGCAATGACCTTCTATTATTGTTTATCTTCAAAATGACAGCATGCCACAATAAGGAATCATCTCTCAGGGAGTTGAGTGACATTACTATATTTAACCAAGTAAGCTTTTTAACAATAATTTTGGTTGGTTACGTTTTGGATAGCGGCCAAAGGTCCACTCTACATATTTTAAAGCAATGTATTAGCAACAAAATTCTAGTGATTCCACATTATTTTTTATGCTCCCTTACTAAAGCCCCCAAATTTTTTCAGAAAAAAAGGTAGTAATAAAAAAGCCTTTACAAATCAATAAGTATTTTTTTTCTAAATGCGTCATCAGTTTGGCGCCTTTCACCCAGGCATGAATTCGTTAATTTTGACTGCACATACATGTACCGGACAGTGTCCTTTCTGTGATCTGTTTTTATCTTTGCCCGGGGGAACTGAAGATTTTGTGACGTGCTAACCTTGTAAGTTCACGACCAGAAGGATAGTAAGGCACGTTTGTAATCAATCCGGTCGGTTTCCTTTCCCAAGTAGGTTTTAACATGTACATAACACGATGTCAGAGTTTTCTATATTTAGGTGTAATTGACAGAAAGTGATGGGAATTTTTAATACCAAAGAAGATTTACCCTTCATGTCATCAATACAAATTATATTTCATGTACTCAGCAGTCTTTGCTACATCCCAACCCTGCAAACAGTGCAAGACTGCAAGTTAAGGACCGTCTTAGATATTGATTTTGTCTAACAAGAACCCTATAACTGGCTCGAGGCATGTTTTCACACGCGTCTCAAGCGCGCACTTACATAATGCGGAGGGCAAAAAAACTACCAACACCTTCAACAGGGCTTAAAATGTAACTTCAATTTCGCTCAGACTAAAACGACGTCTCTGGTTTCAAAAGGGATTGTCTTACCTTCATGTCTTGTCAATGAAGCGATAGTACGACCGCAGGGAATTTGATATGTTCCAATCCAGGAGAGAATGTGGGTTTAGGGGAAAAGTCCGTGCTTAATTCGTTTTGACATGAACTTGCTGTCGTACTTGTCTCACAGTGTTATAACTTTGTATAAGTGCAGCATGCATGCGTGTTTCATGCACGCTGTTTTCACACAAGGGACCACTGCGCGTTGTGACACGCCAACAGGTGTTCGTCGCGCGCGCGTCGCATTCTTTCTATTGTTTGCCTCATGAATATTCATCCCAAAAGTTTTTGGAGTACGGCGCTTGCGCAAAGCGTTCACTCGGTGTGAAGTGATTGTAATATTTTGACTGACAGAAGTTGTATTGTGCACAGTTCTTATTTAAAGGATTCATGAAGGGACTTGCTCAACTTGACAAACAAGGCGTCATTTAATTAGAGGATGCGACTCCGTTTTAAAGCATAAATGCACTGCATCTCGGAAGCGCAAAGAAACTTGTCGTGTTTTAGAGTTATCAAAGGTGGGGAAACCCGTCATAAATATTCTGAACAATTACAAAGGCATCTGGAAGGTTTGGGTGGGATTCGAATCCGAGTCACAAAGGTTGAGGGAAAACACCTGTCACCAATCTGTTCTTCTATCTAGCTTCTATATGAAACCTTTATTTTTGTCTTCATTCACCGAAGTTAAAATCTGTCTTATTTTTTTCCTCTTCCACCTCCCAGGAAAATACTTCGTGGTCATGATTGCCGTGGTCGGTATGTCCGTCCTCATGTCTGTCTGGGTGCTTCATCTTTACCACAAGGAGCAGAACAGCGTCCCCATGCCTCCCTTCCTACGTCAGCTCATCTTCGGCTGGCTGGCCCGGGTAGTAGGCAAATGCAAGTACCGCTCACACCTCACCAAGAACAAAGTCAAGGATAAGTACCACACGCGCGGTATCAACAAGCGCAAGTTCCATGGTCAGGACAATGGGTTGCTGACCAAAGTCCGGTGTTTTCCGCACTACCTGAACAACGACAGCACGACCTCGGTCAAGGAGAACCTGAGCGACGATTTCACAAACGGAAGTGAGGAGATGACATTGGAAGGTACAGTGGAGATGATTGAACTGGGCAGTGATCACAAGCCCAGCAGGGTCACGCTGCGGCTTGAGCGAGAGGTCAGCGAGTTGGCCCGGTGCGTGGACTACCTGACAGACCGGAAACGGACCAAAGATGCAGACGAGGACTTCGCCCGTGAGTGGAGGGACGCGGCCGCCGTGGTGGACCGCGCGCTTCTTATCATCTTCACGCTCGTCAACATCACATTGCCTCTATTTTTTATTCTCTCTGCCACTGGCAGATTTACATAACATTAGAGTGGTATATTTCTTTGAACTATTTTTCATATAATTATCTGTGTGAGTATTTGCTGGATGTGCTCAGATTTGAATTCAATGATGCTCATATTTCTCGAATCAAGGAGAGAGGAAAACGCCGAATTATCAAGAAAAGATGGACATTTTCTCCCTTTTGCCTATCTTCACGTCTGATTGAGTAAAAATTAGGTCTACCGATTGTAAGTTATATTGATTGATGATATCGATTTTCATACACAAATTCGGTGAGTGAAAATGACTCCACGAGACCCGATATTTGGAAATATATCCAAGACGTCAACGTGGATTAGCTATACTGAATTGTGTTCCAATGAAAAGAAAAAGAAAACGTCGTCCAGACATCATGGATTTCTCCTTGAAAGATTTTGTTCATGCCTAAATTCGGCATTTGATTACAAAGCGAAATGCCGTTGCATAATTCTTCTTGAGCTAGGATTATTACATCGGTGAAAATGCCACTTTACATGGAAACGTCGACATGAATTTGTCAACGAGAACATCACTCCTTTTACATGATCGCTTTGCAGTTAGAGTTCGCGTCTATCGCGCCTCTATCACTGAAAATGTGGGTCGGCTAATAACCCATACATTTATTGGAGAGTTTTGGATGCGACTGTTTCAGGGCCGCGGAAGATCCCCTCGTGATCGGATTTCATCAGCCCGTGTGGGATGGATTTTAGTGTTTATTTGTCCCGAGTTTCATCGCTGTCATAAGCGGGCGAAGGGATGGAGGGTGTAACTTAAGCCCCGGGGACGTGACGAGTGAGGGATTTAAGGATTAACTTTTGGAAATTGCCTGGAGCAAAAGTTCAGGTCTTACAAATAATTTCACCTTGACGGTATATGGGACAAGATCTTGAGCAAGTATAAGGTTTAACCCGAAATCACGATCTGGAAAAATGTAAAAACAACTATTAGTAATTAACTTCAACAAAACAACTATTACCAACAACCACCAGGAGCAGCAGCAACCAAAGGCTAATTAAACTTATTAATGAAGTTTTGTTTCGGGCGCCGCATTATATCCGCATCTTTCATTGTACATATCAATTCGTAGCTTGCTATAATATTTTTTTTGTCTAGTGATAATTACATCTTTATCCATTTTACTTGTTTCAAAGTAGAGCAGTAATCAACTTTTCCAGTAAAAAATAATATTAAGTCTGGTTGTGAGAAATTGTTGCATGTGATTTTACCTATTGTAATTTTGTGGGCATATTTTTTATTCTTGTAATTGAACTAGAATTTGAAAGACCTGGAAATTGGTTTAAAACGTGTAGTTGAGATGGTGGTTTATGTGTGTTTACTCTTGACACAACAACCAACGATATTGTTTAGATACTGATGAGTTAGAGGACACAGATGCGCGATGGGTGCATGAGAGAGAAAGGTTGAAAAAGATTGATATGGATGTGAAGAGAACTATACGAGGAGTGTTGAGAAGATATGAGGAGAAATTGGAGAGATGAGATAACACTTTTGGTAGCAACATCTAACACTTGAATGTGAATACCTGTTTTCCCTGTGGGACTCCTCGAAGATGTTTAATCTTTCCCGCGTTTCCTAGTTTGGATGGTCTGGGTGGGTTGAGGTCAATTTTGTGCCCCCTTCGTGAAAACTATTCCTCGTGTGTGATAATTGAAAGCAAAAGCAAAACCGTGTACATTGTCACGTCCTTGAACAAAAGGACTACCGTTTGGTGCGCGTTTATCGACTTTCCCCCATAATGCACTGCGAAAATGTTATCCCCATTGTCACCTCTTGGTGGCGCACACTTATGCACCATTTTTGCTTAGTTCATCAAGTACCGGTATCATTACTTTCTGATGAGCAATGACATTGGGTCCCTTCTTCAGATCGTCTCAGTTCAATGACATCCGATAGTGTAAGGAATGGGACAGTTCTGGATAAAATTTTGTATATACATGTACAGAAGAAATTGAAGTCCATGTTTGAGACGCAATATATATACCGCGCGGCCCACGCGATGAAGTTTCTGTAAGATACGCGTGTATTTCCGACACGGTGAGCTCGTAATTTGCTTGGTTATAAGATGTAAAAGAAACCGTATGTAACTTGATACAAACGGAAATGTTGCATTCATGTATCAGTTTCAGAAGCCTGGGACCTTGGGCACGCCAGGGGCGAAAATGCGAGAGAAAAGGTGTGAAATCTGAAGTTTGAGAGTGGATGTGACATGAGTAGTTGAAAATCACAAGAGAGTTGCTGTCAAGTTGTATCAGGCGTCGATGCTGTTGTACCAAAGGTAGATCACATCTGAGGAGGTGTGTAGAGGGAGTAAAAGGCACGGATTTTGCAAGTGTCACCTTTTGCCGCATGGGATTTGCGCGTAGGTTACTGGCGCGTTTTAATATGTCCTTTCCCCCAGGCCCTTAAGTCATTCATGTTGGCCTAATTAGGAACGGGCTGCGAGTAGGAGGGTAGGTTGATGTGAATGGTCCGAGGGGAGGGAGACGGTGATTTGTTTTTGTAACAGCGAAGGGCTCGGGAGGGGAAAATATTCAGAAAGATCTGATTTCGGATAAGTTGAATTGTTGGTTTCATATAAGGCGTTTTACACAAATGCACGTCATAGTTGCTAGCTGCCTGAAGGGACGGTTGCTAAAATATCGCATTTCCAATTAAGTTTTACGGGTTTGTCTGAAGGGAATCACAGAATGGGACACAAAAAAGGGAAATCCAGTTTCCCTTGCAAATTCTTGCCTGCTAGTTATTTAATTTCGGTTTATTCTGTGGAGATTGAAAGGAAATTGAGGAAACCAATGAACATCACAAAAAGTCGCTTTTTTGTCACTGCTAAAATGAAAATGAACTTCCTACGACAGAGTTTGTGGACTTCCGGTGTTGACTTTTCCCCTAAAAATAAAAACGTCTCGGAAACATGATCCCAATGTATTCAGGCAAGGTATCCATCGATAGCAAACGGATACGACTGGGATAATATGAAGATCGCCTTTCAAAATGCACACAAGTCCATTATGACGAGCACAACACGTGGGCGAGATAGGTACCCGTGAAGTGACCATTTCACATTACAAACCCCGTGATATCCTCTTGGAACACGACCATATATCGACCGGGTGGTCACTAACATTTGCGACTGTTTATCATAGGTGTGTTTATATAGAAGATGAACCCGTTTGGTCATGAGCCATTTCCGCCAAAGTTGAACGCCTGCTGCGAACAGCAAATAACGTGTGGACAGCCAGGGTTCATGTTCCTCAGCTCGAATTAAAGCGAAAAGCACAAGTAGGTGTAACGTAAAACTATTGCTCGGATTAGTTACGGAACAGCGCTTGATTCAATATGCAGGCGAAGGTAAAAAAAAAAAAATCGCTATTATTTTTCAGAGGTAAGTTCGGACAAAGATCAAAGCCTTTTGCCGTGTCGAAGCAAACCTAATTAAAGTCGGGAGGGCCCCAATTTGCACTCGTTGGTGAGAATAGGTCTAAGCAGATCTTTCTTAATCATATCAACGATTCTTCTACCAAGGCTTTGCTTCTCAAGGTTAATCAAATCCTCGGGCATGGTGTTATTCATGAGGGTTCACTCTGCGCTTTCGACATAGGGAATGGATTCGACAATACTTTAAATGTGACAGGAGAGTGCAAACGTGTGACCTATACATGTAATGGGCGACATCGTGGTATACGTGATGGTGATTCTGATTGTGTTGCGATTTAGTAAAGCGTTGTGATGGTGATGGAAGTGATTTTAGTGGTCATTTTTGGTACAGTGCAATTATGTGGTGGCAGCGGTGGGATTCCTGCAGTGTGTGGCGTAAATCATTCCGTGTTAAAGGAATACCGCGCGGTGTAGATCTGCAGGCAAGATGTGAACGGAATAGCTATTTTTTTATATCGTTGGTGATTTGCTTAGTGTAATGTCCGCGGTGTTGGTTATTATAGCGTCATGATATTTAGGTGATGTACATGGTGTTAATTTGTTTGGGATGGTATAGTTGCGGTGCTTGGTCTTGTTTGTCGTGGCTGTGTGAGATTTGAGTGGAGTTTTGGCAGTAGTTTGGAAGTAATTGGTAAAAATAACATGGTATGATGTGGTGGTGGTGGTGGTGGTTGGAATCGGTTGTAGAAATGGAAATATCATAGTAAGAAAACTACGGTGGCAGTGACATTAAATGTTGTGGATTGAGTTAGTGGTGAACGTGGTAAAAGACGTGGTGACATGGGGGTGTGGGTGGTCGATGAAGTGGTATAAAGTGGTAAAGGTTGTTTTCTTATGGTATAAGGTGGCGATAATCGGGAAAGTATAGTAAGGGCTGAGATGCGAGTATAGTCTTATGTTTATCAACAGTAGACTGCATGATGTTGAAGGATGCGATAGCGAAGGTCAACTTGACAGGATGAACATGCGATTTGTAGGATTATGCAGAATGACAAGGATTGAAAGATGGGGCATGCGAAGGAATAATAGTACTTGGAGTGATAATAATGAATCGAATGTTGGTGAGAGGTTTAAAAGGGCAAAATTAAAGTGAGAAGACAGTGATACTAGAGCGGCTGCAAACTTACTTTATGCAAATGAAAAGTTACTGCTTTACTAAAGAAACTGTGCCAAAAGGTATGCTGAGTGTAATAGTGGTGTGTTGGGGCAATTCTTGTGGTGGTGACGGTGTAGATATCGGTTGTAATAAAATGGAGGTGATGGGGTTATCAAGAGTTGAGAGAATATGGATGGGAACTGAGTGATGTTATATGGTGGTGATGCTTGATGATCGTGCTGATGATTGGAATATTATGGTGATGGTTATGGGAATGTAGGTGTACGCTTGATTGTGATGGCAAGATTGACAAAATACCTCCAGCAAAGCAGCCATTCTAGGAAGCCATAAGCTATTGTTCCAGTAGGATATAGGCATGAGCATATATACATCATTTTGTTCATTCATTGTGGGTAATCCGGGCGCAGTGTATTCACAAGGTCAGTTGTGAGTGGCAATCGGCCAGTGTAGTTTTGATTGCGAGAGTATAGGGTAGTAGGGATAACACTATCATGTTTCCCAATAAGATATTGCAATGATCGTCATATGAGAGAGTAGTGATGAAATTTCGGATACCACTTGTGATGAAGACGGTAAAAATACGACCGCTGACAACCAACATTAAAACAACGGTCAGAATTTCAAATAAATACGCTGCTGGCCAGTTCATTATAATGATAAAGTGTATAACTTTGGTGTGCAGAGCAGATAGCTAACTCAAGTGTAAACAAGTGGTATAAATCGATAATTTTATACAAATTATTTTTATTTCCAAAATGTGTAAATACACACCGTCATCTCCTTCCTTTTCTAAATACGAAGTGGAATCCTTTGGATCAGGGTGATTTGGCGGGCCAAAGGGTGATTTTTCTAAAATTAATTGTGAATTCAGAAATTGTTTAGAAAAAAGAGAGATTCCTATTCAGAGACACAAGTCGGTGGATTTAATTGAATGTTTACTGCTTACGATTTTCGTGACATGGGCGAAACCACACTTTTTCATAAAAATATTTAGCTGTTATGAATTTAATTGTCCCCGTTGTCTGTCGCCTTTGTTTACCATAACAGTTTTCCGATTTAGTAAAAATACAATTTTACTGACATTTACAGATCTTCATAATGTTAGTTTAAAGATGGAGTTTAGAAATTAATGTGTGAAAAGAGAGGTGTACAGAGCGACACTGACTTATTGGGATTGTTCCATTACAATAGTTTATTGGTGTCAACAGTTCCCAATAAAAAGAAATTATTTTGTTTCTGAAAATGACGTTTTTATTTGTCTTATTTACAGACTCACTTGATTTAATGATTGCATATACTGTGAGTTTACAAGTTGGAGCCCTCTGTTGATTTCATACTGAACATGGCAGGCATGAATGGGTAACCTTTGTGTACATACAACGACAAGCTATATGATATTCACTTGCATCTCCTGAATAATTCACCAAAGTTCAATTCAATAAGCAATACCTATCTGTATGAGCTCAGACTCAAAACAATACACTGTCGGTAGGTTTAAAAACACATCATGATCACCATCATGGACGGGAAAAACAGGTTAATTATTTTACTACAGCCTGTCTAAAAAAAAATGGTACAATCAGAAAAAAAAGTGGTTAAATATGAAATTTCAAAATAAGTCATTCTTACTTGGCATAATATTAAAGAACAAAGACTGGGCTTTCCAATAGTGTTTGTTTGATCTTATTTGCTTTTGTCGATTCAGAGATATAATCAATTTAGTGCGATACACCAAATTCGATTTTGTGCCACTTTTATGCATGGGCAGAGTTGTTTCGAGTACTGTGCCATGCTGTCTTGAAACTCACAAAAGATTGCAACTTGGCAAAAGAAACAAACTCGATTTTTGTGTTCCGCAGTAAACTGGAGTTATCTCTGGATTGACAAAAGCAAATGAGATGAAACAAAAAGTATTGGAAAGCCTGGTCTTTTTTCTTTAATGTGATGCTCAAAACGACTTACTTATGTTGAGATTTAATATTGAAAAAAAAATCGTTTTCGATTGTACCATTTTTGTGAGACAGGCTGTATTCTGAAACTACCGGGTCAGATTGACCCAGAACCGGGTCCTATTTGGCCCGATAATTAAGAATACCAGTCGACCTGGTAATTAGCATAATGCTCGTCACCCTAAACTGGCTAAAGATTGACTTTTGACCCCTCATATATTTTCCATTACCAAAGCTTCACTGAAACATATTAAATTGACAATAAATAATTTACTTAGTTCAGTCCGTATATTCGTATACATCAAGGTCACCATGGCAGTGTGTCAGTGAGTTAAATCTATTTAAAACGCACCCTTTTGTTAACAATAATATTGTTAAGATAATATACCAAATAGGTAAACAGAACGAGTGGTTGTTAGTAACTTGTTTCAACTACCATACAATATTTTTTTGTAATACAAATTTTTTTTGTCAATGCATGCTCAAATATCTTAAATAAATGGCGAAGTAACATGACGAACAGACAGCAAGCTCGTTCGGCAAATCACTTCTAATGACACTCTAAGTGTAACGACAAGTATAGTGTAATATGTAGGCAGTTAACTCAACAAGCATGAACCTTATCTGGCTTTAATTTTGTTTTTTAAACATAACTTCCCGAATCATGTCAAATCGGGCACAATGCAGCAAACCAATGTCACTTTGTACTCCGACTGTCAAAGGTCCCCGAGCACAATGTTCGATAAGGCGGTGGGATTTACTCTCCTAAAGCCTGCCACATCCTTCCAAAGCTCCCAACGGATTGGAAGGATTATCGAGGTGGATCTAGGTTGATGAAAATGCAGACATACCATAGAAAAGGTAGGCTGCAATCCTTATTTTCTATTGTCTGCCTGCATGGTTGTCAACCTCGATCCGCCTCAGCGTTAAAACCACTGCTTTCCAACACAATGTGTTAACATTCTGCAAATTTTCCATAATTGTTACGAAGCAACGAAGTATAGTCTAGCAATTACATGTATAGTGTGCAGCGGCGTAATTGGGGGGGGGGGGGGGGGGGGGGGGGGGGCACCTGTTGGCGCATCAATTTTTCAAGAGGGCACTAAAGGTATGGTATATTGCTTGTATAGTGCAATTCGAGAATTTAAATGGGGGCACCCCGGAAGGCACGTGCCCCCCCCCCCCCCCCCCGTGCCCCGTAGTTATACGCACCTGATTGTGGGCAATATGAGAACTATATGACGAGTAATTATACTGGCTTAGAAGAATTAGACAAGATTAAGAACTTAAATAAGACAATTGAAAGTTCATCTGACACATTGTATAGAAACGGTAAGAGACTCATTTGTGTGAGTCAAATATGAAGTAAGAAAAATTCACATGTTAACACAATATTGCCTATAATGTTTAAGAGTGCGTAGCAATGCCCCCCCCCCCCCCCAAAAAAAAAAGCACATGCGAGTCTTTCGCCGAAAAGAGGTTAAAAAGTGCCAATTGCAATCAATGAAGGCAGAGGCAGGTAATACATGTCATAAAATTTAATAATTTACAAATACATATAGCATTTGATATCAAAAAGTAATTGCTCACAACATAAATTTTGTTAATATATACAAATATAGTGATGGAATACCTTTGATAAATAAACACCTCATTAAATGTAAGCGATTAAGGAAAGCTAAGGGAAAACACTTTTTAAAAACAATTAAAAATTAGCTAAACTAAGACCACTTAACCCAACTACATGTATAGACTCAAAAAGTCGAGAAATAATACACATTTAAATATTATCAATATTACAATATTATTAGGGGTGCAACCCAGTAAATAAATTCCCATAGAAACTAGTGATAAATCCCCATTACTAAAACATTTAAATACCGATGACTTTTTGGAAAAATTCTCACCCAAAGAAGACCACCCCAAAAACGGATATTTCCCAAACTGGAAAAGTAGCCGTTTTGAAAAAGGATCCCTCCACAACATGGCTAAATAGTACCACTTTCGGACCCAATCGCATCCGAAATTATCAAAATTGGAAGCCCCAAGACCAGACCATAGGTGTAGTGCCATATGTCCCCAATGCCATGGCTCTCTGAACTCTCTAATATCGATAATTTGAATGATTTGGCTCGGCGGACGGATTTTTGGCCTATTTACTTGGTTGCACCCCTAGTGAGCAGGCAGCAGAACACCATCTCCTATTCGGGGTCATATGAAATTTGGACTCCTATGAAATCTGGTCTCCAACCTTCAACACATGACCTGTCACTCTTTTCCAATTATCTTTACTTAGGCATGCACAATACAACCAATGAGTCCGTGCTCAAATTTCACAATACATTGGCACAGCGTCCATAATGTCATTGCAATGGGTTTGCTCCAACTACAAATCCTGATTTGCAAGATCAATCTATCCCGGGGCAATACTCAGCAGCTGAAGCAACCATGTGGTCAAGAGAATCGGGACAAGTGTGGATCGCACACCATCTAGTCAATAACCGGACACTTTCAGTAGATCTGCTGTGTACATGCCCACAGGGGTGCAAGCTTATTCCCGGTAATATTGTAATTCATTGTTGGGATGGGTTGGGGAACAGCCTGCCACTCATGTAATTTAAGCCTTTCAGGACTGGGCACTTTGGTTTTGGTTCTCTGAGTGAACTTATGTGAATCCCTCGGCTTGGGCCATCAAAATTCAGGGGTGTGAGTGACCACTGATAAAAATAGCTGAAAACAGCTGAAAAAGGTGTAAAAAAGCTGAACTTTGGAAATCCCCTATACTTTTGTACACGGCAAGTGAGGGGAAAAGCTGAAAAAAAGCTGAAATCCAAAACAAAAAAAGCTGATATCAGCTTTAAAGCTGAGATTTCACACCCCTGAAAATTACACACTACTGCGAATTATGGCTACGGCTAGAAATAACACACTGGTCTATAGGAAGTGACTGCAGTGGCTTCCATGGGTTTGTGTGTAATGTCCAGCCGTAGCCAAGTAATTCAGACAAAGCCTTACATATTTTTGAACAATTGAGGGCGCTGTTACCTCATTACGGGGTATGAATAGATGTGCATTTCCTCTTATTTCCATGTAGGTTTGCCATTTGTGGTTAAATTACTCTGCAAGAGGGCGCACTTCCAAAACTGATTCTCTGAGGGAAAAACCACAAGACCCAACGATACTGGCAAAAAGGAATAAGTCATGGAGTTCTGTGCTAAAGGGCCCAAGACTGAAAGGTCCGTTATAATATCAGGGCAAATAAAGATTCATAATGTAAAGTTAGAAAAGAAAAGATAACAAATACAAGGAAAGATACATGCAGAGAAGACGCTCTGAGCTAAAATGATGCAGAAGGGCGCTCCTCTGAAACATTTGGGCACTTCTGGGTTCAAAATTCTGCTCACACAAAAAAAAGTGATGGTATTTTTTTGGCCCATTCTGGATGCAAAAAGTAATATATCACTACAATATAGGGCAACAGAAAGAAATATTTAATGAAATACATTGTAAAACAAAAATTTAGTCTGATAAGTAAAAGATTGGCCCATCTATCTGTCCAAGACAAGAGTAAACAAACGTCCCTCATGACTTCAATCTCAGAGATCATTGTTGCGAATAAACCGGTTGCCCTCCGAGTGTCTCCCGTAGTATACATAGCGACACTTCCCAAACGTCCCTGTAGTTGAGAGATAAACAGAGGTCTTCAGCGAATCTTTTCATCACAAAATTGTCAATTTTCAATTCAAAGATAGAACACACGTTGCATCACTCTTTTCACGAACTGACACGTACACGCTGTGTGCGCGCACTTCGTGAAGCTGCACAAATGATTATTTTTGTTTACACGAACTGACACCCAAGCACTGTGGCGGAAATACAAATGCTTTGAAAGGTTTGACACGATTTTACTCCATCCATGTACTTGTAGGGTTGTCGATTCTACCGCATTCTTAGTCAATTAGAAAATCAATACTTCAGATGGGTTTAAGATTGCGAGAACAAACAGAACGACTCTAGCCTTGCCTGTCAGTTCGTGAAAACCCAAATTATGCATAACCAAGAAAACTCAAGTTATTAGCGCATGGAGCCCATTAAAAACACCCTAGCTCCTTCCTCCCCCCCCCCCTCTCTTAACAGAGGCTAAAGATTCATACCTTGATGGTTATCACTAGGTCTTATGGTGTCCGGCAAGGGGCCATATGAATGATGACTGCTGTCTGGTGAATCTGGTGATTTGTTCAGATCCTACAAAAAAAACCAAATGAACAGGCTCATTAGAGAAGACAAAAACAGGTGCACTGAATCCTTCTGCAGCCTTCTTGGAGCGAAAATATGCTCCAAGAAGCTTTGGGTGCTAATGAATGTAAAAAGGGGGTTTCAAGTAGACCATGTTTCAAGAAGTCCATAACATGTCCATCACAAGTCCTCACAAGTCCTCACAAGACCATCACAAGTCCATCACAAGTCCATCACAAGTCCATCACAAGTCCATCACAAGTCCTCACAAGTCCATCACAAGTCCATCTCAAGTCCATCACAAGTCCATCACAAGTCCACCACAAGTCCATCTCAAGTCCATCACAAGTCCCAATACCTGAAGTCAAGTCGAGTCAAGTCAAGTCACAAAGTAATTCAAATGACAAACATTCCTTTGTTTATCCCACATTTTTGCAACAGGACTTATGTAAATACTTGAGATTTACTGTTGTGTGGACTTGTGATGGGCCAGGCATGTCACTGGAAAGTAATACAAAATGAGGAAATGCCAAGCTTTACAAGACTTTATACAATCTTTTTCAATGGTTAATGGCACAAATACGAAGTGGAAAACGAGGAAATCAGGTGATCTGAGGAAACTTGCATGCCTGATGAACTTGACAACAGCATCGTTGATCTAAAATTACCAGAATTGTCACGTACAAGAGCATGACTAGTAACCCTGCTTCCTTGATCCTTGACCTTCATTACCTGATCTGAGTTGACTCGGACGACCCTCATGTAGGACCCGACCCTGTCTGCTTCCTTCCTCTCTTTCTGGGTCACCTGCCTGGAATCTAGGAAGCGTAACCCTGGCAACTTGTGCACCACGTAGTATCTGAAACACAAGAGGTAAATATGTCAAATAAATATTTCCTGTTTTACGCCAGCATTTTGTGCCCTCTTTTGATCAATGAATTGAGTCAAACGCCTCAGACTCAACAACTTTAGTTTAGGTCGGTAAAGTTTGACCAAATTTTCAAAGCAAACCAAAGCAATTACAGTAGTGAACAAAATGTATGAACCCAGGCATGCAACTGGGAATTAAGAGAAAAAAACAAGGAAATTCTAAACCACACAAGACTTTGAACAGTATTTTTAAATTTGTAATGGCATTCATAAGAAGTAAAAAAACAAGGAAATCAGCGGATCCGTGGAAAAGTTGCATGCCTGGTGAATTAGCTAAGTGCAGGTGTCCTTCAAGCAAAATATCATTGTTACTGACAGAGCCCCCCTCTCTTGTTCAAGTAGCAAGAACAAATTATATTTCAATATTTACCTATATCTCTGGTAGTCATCTTCATCTTTGTCTGTACTCGACAGCTCGTTGGGGCAAGCCTCGTTCCCGAGGAGACTCAAGTAGGTCAGATTTGGACACTGCTGCTTCAACTGGTCTGTAAGACGCTCTAGATCTTTGATGTGAGAAACTCCTGTTAAGGTTAACACTTCAGTATCTCAAACAATTTAGGTACATGTACTCATTTTTCATTGACGGAAACTAAATCCTCCACTGACACAATTCTGGTTACTTTTTAGGTTTTAAAGGGTATCCCGCCACATCTCAGGGAGTGAACGACAGTTCTCACTTCCTTGATCCTAAAAATGTCTCAAAAACCTGTTTGCAAATATTAAAAGATTGGGAGCAAAACTCCCAAGGGAATTTTTTTTTTTAGTAATCTCCCAAAAACCTGCACTTTTTGCGGGAACCCTATCAAGGGGTGCCAAGTCCCATGGACAGTAATAGTGGCTGGGCTCTCCTCCTGGACCCTACAAAATCTGGATTTTGAAGAATCTAGGATGTTACAGTACGGCAGAGAGAGATGATACAATACAAAGGATATCCTGTTTTTGTTGAGTACTAGTGTCTGTAGCGTTGGTATGGGCGGGATGTTGATCGAGTCGTTCAGCTCATTCTGATCCAATACTAGCTCCTCTAACTTGATAAACCTCTCCAGACCTTCTAACGACCTGCAGAGAACGGAACATCAAACCGTTTAAATTTGTTAGAAATTTGTTACCCATATAAATATATAGTCTAATCATTGCTTATTGTTTTTATGTGTCACAGAAAGGGATGATTAAGGGGAGAATGCAACATTAATTAAAGGGGCAGTAACTAAAGATTTACCTAGAAATTTTACAGGGTTTTATGAGGTATCTAGGGGTCAACCTCCGCTACTGTATAGTCTTCCCTAAAAAAACACCACTACCAATTTTACAGGCAGTTTTTGGGCGGTGAAGGGGTTCAATATTCAAGGAATCTCAACGAGTTTATAGCCAGGGATGAAGTAGAAGCCGGAGACGAAACAAAGGTTAACAAACATTTAAGAGTGAATTGAGGACCCACCTGATGTGATTGAAACTGAGGTCTAGTCTGGTGACTTGCTTGCCGTACCATTGGCCCAGCTCGTCTGGTATCCTTGTTGCACTGTGTTCAAGATATGACAGCTGGGAAGTGTGGGGGAATAAAAAAAACTATTCATAACTGATGGATAAATTCGGACATTGCCTCGAATACAACTGTACAAACGATTCTAACATATGGTTAATTTACATCGGAACAAATATATACATAAACTTATGGGACTTAAGTTGCTCCTAGTGTGCACATGTCTTAGAAAGAATGATTACAAATGTACCCTTCTGAAAAAAATTTTCCTGACAAACTAAAATATACTCTTTTTTTTTTACTGGAAAGACACTTTATATTGTACCAGCAAATGATACTTCGAATAGTGGGTTAGTTTTTGTTGATCAATGTCATGAGAAGGTCTTTAGTATGTAGCATTTGAAATTAGCACTTTATAATTTAAATTTATATTTTTTTCAGGGCTGGTACATTTATATTGCTTGAATGAACACAACTTCAGGAACATGCTAGAACTAGAATACAATACATGTACAGCGTTTGTACGTCAACATGTGCCACACTTTGCCACTTCCACTACTGCCGTTTTACCGATAATCAATATTTATCATGGTCATGTGACCAGTGTACCTTACAATGATGCAACCAATTTATCTTTGTTATCTCATTTCTATATTGACGATGGTAAAAAATAACAGAAGGGCTGAAGTCCAGCAGCTCAATACATGCCCTAATTAACCAGAAGGTATCATGTACTTGTAGATGTGTGCACGGTATGGAACTCGTCAGTGTGCATTAAGTACAAGGAGGACTGTCATTGAAAACAAATAAATATTGTTATTTACAAACTCAAAAAAGGCATGAGGTTCTGTCTGCTTTGCATTGCTAATGAAGATAGTATTGTTTTCTCTTTATTGATTTAGTGTGTTGTACATGTCTAAAAAACATTTTCATAAATGTTGGATACCGTTCTTTCAAAAAGTCAGACTGGTAAACATGATATTGTTAAACCTTTGTAATATGACAGAAACAATGGGTAACACTATTTGGTTTGGGGTAAACTCTTTTACCTAAGCAAAATAGTGCCTCCTGTTAATCCATTAATATCTTTTAAAATTTATGAGACTGAAATTCCATTGGGGAGTTTTGCCATTTGCTGACATCAAAAAATACATAAATAAATATCTCAGACAGACAGATCCTACTGCTCATTTTCAACTGCAGTATGGTTTTCTACACCATATATCCCCTCCTCTGACTGTGAGAAAGTAAAGAAAAAACTGCCAAACTTGTTCGCTCCACGACACTTCACAATAGCATGCAAGCCTCAATGACCAACAGAGATTTATCCTACAACAGGTCTGCACTGAACTACACACGTTTATAGCTGGAGCTTGGCAATATCTTTTGTGTACAAATCAATGTAGGTATGTGAAGGTCAGGTTATTCCGAACCCTTTAGGAAATTATACTAAGAAATGTAGTGAATTCTTTACAATCTTCCACTCTGCAGGAAGCCATTAGGGCCTATGTGTACAAATCAACTTTCATGGGCATCAAAATCCATGGAAATTAATAGTGACTGGGATTTATTTTCCTAAATTCTACAACATTTAAAAAACTCCTGATTTGTTTTTGATATCTTGGAGGAACGAATCTTTGATTTTCACATTTCTTTCCTGTTTGTTCCATGGAAATGCACAGCTTCCTGGATTAATACATTGTATATGTGTAAAATGTCATGAATAAAAAGTACACCTCAATTTGTTTAAAGGGAAGATACAACATTTGCAAACATAAAAACACGAAATTATCAAATTATCACGGAATACCTCTTACTGAATTGTTAGGGTACAATGTATGACAGTCTAAAAGCATCCTGTAAAATTGTGGCTCCTGGTGTGCTGACATTTTCAAGAAAAAGTGTATTTTTCCAACGCTGGTCGGCTGACCAGCGTTGGAAAAAAACTGGCTTTTTTCAAAAACTGTACCTAATTTTTAATATCGCATAGTCTTTGCAATTGATTACACACCTGTGAAGGGGTACAAGCCTGCTAGACTGATTCTTTGACCTTACAATTTCCTAAAGTCTATAAATTGATCCGTTTCATCTTAAGTGGGGTCAGGGAGCCAGACTACAAGAACATGATGGTTTTTCCAGCTTCTCACAAGCCGAAAACATGAAACAAGTCAGTTTAGCAATATTTGCTACAGGTATATCAAACTGATCCTCCAAATCCATTGTTTTCTGAAAATTGCAGCAAAAGCAAATGTTGTACATTCCCTTTATGTATATTTATTTAGAAATATAGTACTTTTTATTTTTAATCATATTTTGTTAAGTTGGTGTCCTGTACTCATTTTATGCAAAGTCAACCTGGTTTTTAATTTTGTTTGTATACAAATATCCAGATCAGTTACACATCTCAACACAATTGTAAAACATCTTCAGTTTTTGTTTTGATTGATTGAAAAGAATGGACTTCAATAAAGGGTTCACTGAACTGAAGTGAAGTTCATTCTTCTAAATCAATCACAACAAAACGTCTGGTTACCAGTTTCAGTTTCACAAAAATAAAACACTTGAAAATGTGAAGCAATCAGGTCTATTTATAGCAAAGGACGGACTGTTGGCACAACCATGGCACAACCTGCTTGCTTCAGATCATCTCTTGTTAGAAGAACCAAAACAATCTGCAGCAAAGACCCAGAGTACTTTCTTCGAGGAACAATTACTTCTCAAATAATTCTTTTGTTTTAACATTACCTTGTTCATTATTCTTTCTCCACGAGACAGACATGACTTTTGGTTGACATGAACATATTTTTGTAGGCCAACAAGCCATGGAAAATTTTGCCTGAACTTGATAACTCTCAGATACACTAGTCATGCTAGTAAAAACAGACTATTACTTAGGTACACGTATGTCGTACTTTAACCTACTCTGATTTTCATCAGACTCAGTTTAACCTGACCTTCACATAAAATTATTTGTACTGTAGCTTGAGTAACTCCAGCTGACATGCTCATCGGGAATTCACATGTAACATGTGAATTCCTGATGAGCATGTTTACTCCAGCTGACATGCTCATCAGGAATTCACATGTAACATGTGAATTCCTGATGAGCATGTCAGCTGGAGTTACTCGTGCTATTTCTACTGTAGTCTGTATGCCGCAATTTTATTTTTTTCAAAGAATCAGGGAATCCTGACAATTCGTACACAATAATCATAATGACATCAAAAGGTGTGACATTAATTGACATTTATTCAGCTGTTACCTTTACTTTTTACTAGCTAGGCCTATAGGATTATACTGTTTTCTTCCAACAATAATAATTAAGTGCAACTGCAAAGTTCACCGGAATCTTCAAACCATCACGTCAGTGACCATGGAGGAATTTTATTCCTCCATAGTCCACGTTCAAACCAACCTGTGTCCCCTCGATTATCGGTCCCAAACTCTCGTTCTGCCCACTCTCTCCGTTCTCAGTCACAGTAACGTTCGCCATATTCTTCCGATTTGCCCTCAATTGATCCAACCAGTAGGTTTTTGTTGAATCCATTCATCAGAAGACGACCAAATCCGTTTCCATTTTCCGTGACTATTCGACCTCGGAAACGTATTGTGGTTTTTTCTGTGGCGAACGAATCACATGATCTGCAAACAACAAACTGCGGAACCAGACTGGTTTAACTCTACTAGATAATTGTTGTCAAACGTCAAAGTACTAGTCTTTGCGAAAAAGATTGGACTTTCGGTCTCGCTGGGTGGCGCTATTCAATATTTACAGGCAATTTAAGTCGCCTGTGTACGTACACTAGAGCACTGGGAAAAAGTGTGATTTCGGACTTTTTTGGAAACTCTGGCTATGCAGTTGTGCAAGGATTATTATTACCTGTGGGCTACCCTGTATTCCCTACATCAAGACCATTTCGGTAAGTACCCAAAATGGCTGTAATTAAGTTATAAATATTTCAAACAATTCAGTAACTCCGTTTTGTGTTTCGATTGTGTTTGTTTTTGGATGGAACACCAAAACTCCAATTATGATATCACTGAGAATGATCCGAATGAGGTGGATTAGTTTTTCTTCTGAAAACACTGCAAACCTCAAAAACCAAAACCATGGTGCACTCTGGCAATCCAAGTCGTATCAAACTACCATTACCATACTTTGGAGAACGTGAAGACCACCCAGTTTCTTAGTTATAAGTTTAAACCCGCCCACGTGTTCCCGCCCTTTTCTCTAGGCTGATCAACATTGCCTCACCGTGCATAATCATTACACTACATCCCTGCATCGGCAGAATTGTCAGTTGTGTTTCCCGCTTTTTCTGCTGCCAAAACTAAACTGACTACGGACCCGGACGTGTTGATAGCGTGAAGAAACACCAGTGCTTTATTGGTGGCGTGTTTTACAGTGGTTAGAAATGAAAGGAATGTAGGCCTATTTTTGTTAGGATTGCCGATTGGGTGAGAATTCAGCATGCAATTAAAATTCTACCCAATAATTTTGCGGTATAGGGCCCGGTTTACACACGCCCAAACACCTCAGTTTTCAAATACAAACCACGCCGCGTCTCCGAAAAAAAAGTCAATATGTTTAGAAGTAGAACGCCTCTTCTTTCTGCATAGTACTACACATGCAACAGCCTCTGGCTCTAGTAAGTTGTACAAAATTCCTGAGCAACAAAGACCAGGGGTGCGTTTTGGCGGTCATAACCAAGAATTGGTTCGGTAGTTTTTTGTCGGTGAATTTCTTCAGCAATTTTAATTGAGTTAGAATTACGCATGATCATGTAATACTCAAATCCCCAAAACAATTAACCAAAGAGAAACCACCGCACCAAGTCTTGGTTATGACCGCCAAAACGCACCCCAGATTTACCACTAGCGCCCTCTGTCGGAAATAATAAATGGTTGGCACTGTATATTTCTCCAAGAAAATGTCCCTGTAATATTTTACGGCGTCGTGCACGCCAGCTGGTCAGGTCAGTGAATGCTAAGCCTTCAACTCACATGCCCGGGGGAATCACGCCGATCCCCCCCCCCCCCTTCGCCCCTTGCTCATCGTGTCCTCGGCACAAGCCTCATCCATCGCCATCTTCAGAAAAAAAATAGTCTCAAAACACCTGATCTGATATAGCCCGGGCGGAAAGAAATTAACTGTTTGAGCAGAAACCAGGCGCCAGGCTTGTCCGTGGGGCACGTGGGCGCACGCTGTAAGCTCAGCGTTTGCTGGTGTATGCAGCCTTAACCATCATGAAAAAGAAGAAGAAAAAGAAGAACTTTATGGTCGGGGGTGAAGAAACCTTTATGGCGCTAAATTGCATTGCAATGTATCGATCAACCGTTATTTTGAAAGCCCCTGGATATTAGAGTCTCAGGGGCAAATTTAATGGCGGCGGCGTGAGGACCGATTTTACTAAGATGAGAAAGATGTTTGCTTAGAACAAATGGGACTAGTCAACCGTGACAGTGCTGTTTCTGCCTGATTCAGATTTCTTTTCTTTTTTGCTTTATATCATATTCATAAATACCTAAGACAGTTTGCCCAATCCTATTGGTCGAGAGCCCGTCACGTGAAACGGTTCAACGATCGATAAAGCCACTTTTCCAGTATCGCATGAAAAGGTTGACTCCTTCGGCTCGGGTAGGCCTAATTTTCAGCATCCAGATTCCAAACGGTCTTAACAAAGTGTTAAAAACTCCACAGCACAACTTATTAATTAATGTCATGAGCAATTTTCCCGATATGCGAAATGCCAAGAAAATGTAAATGCACGATACAGTATAAAATAGATTTAAACCTCTAATTTCAAACATTTCATGTTTGGAAATACTTAAGTATAAGTCAGTCTTCCTTCCTTTCATGATTTTTTTTTTTTTCAAATCGAAATAGAACAGTCGTCGGGATGGAAGAGGGAGATTTAAAAAAAAAAAAATGCAAGGAACTGCAAAAAGGTCGTGTTTTTTTTCTCTTCTTTATTTTTTCCTCAGTATATGTGTAAACCGATCGAAGACAGGGCACGAACAGCGATGATGCGATGAGCTGATAGCGGTCGGGTGAGAACGGCGCGGGCGACGGCGAAGGGGTGGGCACGAGATACGCCGATAACCCATCACGATATGGCCGGCCTGCCTGCGTGGGCTATGGGACGCGTGACACAATCGGAGGACATTCACCCAAAAATCTCCCCGGGATAGGAAGAGAAAATAAAATAGAATTTATTGATTTGATGGGTATACAGGAGAAAAACATAGTCTGGAGAGGTCATTGTTGGGGTGGATGGCCGATGCGGCAATGAAATTGGCGCCGCTGATGGAAAAGATTAAAATAGATTGAATTGTTATGTACAGATGGAAAGGTTTACAGTTTAATGCCATGCACAGTTGCACCCCCCTTAACCAGCCCCTCAATCTCGAAGTTATACGCAAAGGACACAGGACTAAAGCATAAAAGTATGGCCTCTTAAGAGCTTCGCTTTACTGAAAAAGTTCGTGACGTGACATTGTCTAGGGATGCAAGGAATTTGTCCAAATGTTATAACTGATTGTTCCTAGTTACGGTACAGGAAGTTTCAATAAAAGAATTATTACAATATTGCCCATGTCAGGTTTTTAAAAGATTTATCATGATTGCCGAATTTGTAAATCAATTAAATCTAAAACCCTCTAACCGCGTTATTACTTTAAAAACTTGCGCATGCGTACCTGCATCTCAGAAAGACAATAGCCTGGCGCCGGTCGGCATGCAAAAATTCTTTCTATTGTTCGGGCGACTGCGTTTGAATTCTATAGGTGTCTAGGTACATGATCATTCATTTTGCAAATTATGGCTTTGGACGCCATGTCGTCACATAGTTTCGACTTTCCGAAGTTCAGCACACGAAACGACCTCAAAACCCCTCTCTTTCTTTATCACAGGATAGTATTCTTGATAAGGATGACGTATCGCAGACAGCAGACCCAGTTATTTCGCGGGAAAACTTTGGAAATCACGGCAGAATAGGTAGGTACAATTAATTGGTAAAGTTTGGCTGAGGAATTGGTAAAGTTTGGCTGAGGCCTATATGCAGTGCATATATCATTCTTTGTTGGTATTGCCTACTGAGCGACGTGCGATTTATTCTGTCGCGCATTTTTGCCCTTTCTGTAATAATCATTGTACAGTTTACTCTAAACAATGTAGGCCTATAAAACAGCATATGAGGTGCCACTCGATGCATCATAATACTTCAAGGCAAACATGATTATCAGCTTTTTCAAATGTTTCGTATTCGTTTTGATGTGGTATATGACAAAATGAATATCTTGCACGTTGCCACATTGTGTATCGCCCAACTCGAAAGTTTTAATGCTTATGCCAGTTCATATATTTATTATAACTCTGGCATAATGCAATACAAAAACCAACTGAACCGGTCTTGTCAATAATTGTAACCGCCCCAATTCCTGCTACGCGCCCCGAAAACCACGTACGTCCGTGGCCTTTATTGTTTTTACTGCAGGGCGCCTTCTATAAGTCAGAGCGTAGCGCTATGGAAAATCAGCAGTCACTGGTTTTCGCGGGGTTGAGAACCTGTCAAAAATAACCTCTCCGGACTTTGCAATGGGGGGGGGGGACCTGAAGTGTCCTTTGGAATCTCCAACCCATGGCTGAACAACTTCCGTCGGCAAGTCAGCCCGACGATGCTTCAGACCGAACCCAATAGCCATGCCTACAGCAGGGTCGTGGGATCCCGCACTTGGAGGCAATATGATAGCGGTTCTTGTTTCTGGATATTCCTCTTGCTCCAAGCAGATTTATAAGGGGGTGATTTTTTTCTTGGCTTGGGAAGCTTGACATGGGTTTTATAAATAAATATAATGGCTGGCGTATGGAACAGTGTTCGTGTAGTCTGTTTTAATGCTACAACTTATAAAGTTATGTTGTAAATCTTATGCCCAACCAATAGAGGGCGTTACTACCGTGGGGAATAAATTAATCATATTACAAACTTGACACAGTGTGGTTTTCTTCCTCACAAACTGACCGTTTTGGTGCTTAGTCTTGACTTTAGTTTACCAAGGTAAATATTTTGCCAGTTATAATTGCAGTATCTGCATCCGTGGCCTACTCTCGAAGGAAGGGAGACAGTTCTATTTCCCTAATATTTGCGGACCGGCGGTTCGTTGAAGGATGAAATCTCCCGACTTGGGAAGACAGGCGCCAATCACGCTGCGCACAATGCGATTTACCCATCTCGGTTTATATTGACCGAGTGACGAAAGCAAGGAAAAACCCGAGACAGCCTCTAAAAGCCCCGGCGAATTACACCTCCAAAAAAAGTCTCAGCTCATTATTCAAATCCGACCTACGATCTCCCAAGCCCGAACCGCGAGTCGCATAATTCATCAAACGGCATCATTCTCACCCCTCTTCCCTGTTAATTCACAAGACCGCACCGCGTTTAAAATTCGATGTAATTCCGTTCCTCCGCGAGATTCTGTTTATCTCGTCTGCCGAGCCGCGCGCGGGAAGGGGAGAATCTCCGGGAGTCGCTGCCGCCGCCGCCCGCTCCCATCCTGTTTATTCGATTATCTCAACCGTCATGATTTGTTCAGGAGCCCCGGCCGATCACACATTAACCCTTTGGGGGAGAGAATATGCGTTGCCGTGCTG